GCAGGAGGTGTAATTCAAGAAAATGATAATTTTGCACGCACACACAGAGAGAAGTGTGTTGCAGACAAGCTGCTACATTACAGACCACCCCTCACTAGCAGAGTAAATTCCTCAGGATTGAAAAAACGGTCTGGTCTTCTGGATCTAAGCAGGACCATCGTTTGCACATATAAACCCTTAGGGATGGTAATCTGTCTGAATTGCATCTCTAGAACACTATGTCGCAATTTGAACTTTCAGGACAAACTATCTGTGCAGTTTGGCCCTAAGTTGCTCTTATTTCCCACTTCGCTTGCAGGGCTTAAGGCTGGGCCAGGGGGTGCCACCACCAAGGCCTGCCTGTCTCGCCTGCCCGGGAGGATTAGGAAAGGATTTTAAGGGAGCAGGGTGATTCAAGATGAAGGAGGGGGGTGACGAGTCCCCATCCGGCAGGGTGCCTCTGGGAACGCGCGCAGCCCTGGCACCATGGCGATGGAGACCAAGGGGATGGTTCGCTTGCAAAATGTTGAGGAATGTCTGTGTGCGCGCCAGGAATGGGGGGGGAGGGCGTGTGTGCGTGAAGATCTTGTATTTGTGTATGAAAGGTAGTAACTAGGAAACATGGTGGGTGAAACATGCGGCTGGAATTTGCCCAAGTTCAATCTTCAGCTAAACAGAACAAGCAAAGCACAACAAAACAATGAGAGTTGTCTCTTTGCTGAACTTTGGACCTGCTCTGCCTTCTCTCCTGTCAAGGCAGACCTGAGAGCATTACCTCCCAAATCTGCCTCCCTCCCCCACACCCCTACCCCCCAGGATGGCCCGGGAATTCGTGGAGCTGTACTACAGAAAAGGCACAAAAGAAGAAAATGCATCAGGAGTAAAATCCTGCTCTGCCACTTTATATTTGGCCTGTGCACAGATTGACTGTCGGGAAGGAAATTAGTTTTTATTGTATTGCATCGTATTTTGCTTTCTACCTGACGGGAGCATTTGAACCTGGTGCCCGGTTAGCAATCTTTGAACCTGACCAAGGTGTGCCATTCCATCCTACTGCCTCTTTTCCTTTTCCTGAATTCTGCCCACAATCTTGCCCACTCACGCTTGTATGGCAAGCGTGTGATTCTCCGACACGTCACACAAGGAGGATAAAAGCATTTCTGAGCATGTGAAGACCGCTTCCCCTTAACAGTACAGCTGGGCATGTTTAGGATAGCTGAACCCGGATTCCGCATGAGAAACCGTGGCTGCCTGGCCAGTTTGAGCTGGATCACCTCTTCCTTTGTATCTGGTAGGATTCCTCATATCTGTGGGGTATAGGTTCCACCCTGTCTCCCATGGATGCTGGAAGACACAAATTATAGAGAATGCTATGCAAAGGGTGGTTGCTGGCTTCCTCTAGTGGTCAGTCCTGTTAACTTCATCTTTAGAAATGTGTATTTCTAGGATTTTTCTTTTAATATTTTTAATATTGACTGTGGATAAGTGAATCAGCGGATACCAGTTCCACAATCCAGGGATCCTACTGTATTGTTGTGTGGAAGTGACCATTGACTGGTGCACAATCCATATGTCTATCACAGTTCTGGAAGAGCCGCAACAGAGCGTGGGACACATCAGCTTCCTAGATACGCTAACACAGTAAAAACAGATACTGCATTTTCTTGTTCTGATCTTCCAAAACGGGGAATCGTTGGCATTTTCAAAAGTTTCCCCGTAACTTGGCTGCAAACGGTGCCTTCTTGTTCTGATCTTCCAAAACGGGGAATTGTTGGTATTTTCAAAAGTTTCCCTGTAAGTTGGCTGCAAATAATAGGTCCACCTGAGTTTCTTTGTGCCCACATCCCAGGCTGATTAAGAAGCTTTCGGCCTTCCCCGTTGGGTTTGTGGTGCTGTGGTTTTGCCAGTCTGGGCTTGCCGCCCATTGGCCCTGTTTGTCGGCTCCTTGCAGCCGGGCAGCCGAGGGCAGCGGGGTTCGAAAGCAGAGAGGAAATTCCTGCAGCAAGTCGGCGCACGCAGAACCCAGCGGGGGCCCGCCCATCATGCCGAACGACGGCTGTTTCCCTCAGAGGCCCGTGGGTGCCAGTGCGGGCTTCCAAGCACCAAGCTCCAGTTGCGTTTTGGAAACCCCGAGGTGGGCATCAGAATCGGGAGCTCCCTGCGCCTTTTGACAGCCGTCTCAGTTGCACACCAAAGTCCTAACACATCTGGGCGTCAAGACATCTGGAAGGCTCTCGATTCCTTTGATCCCTTCTGGGTGTCAGTTACATTTAACAGGACGAGCATGGAAACACTCATTTCGCCACTGCTTCTGTCAACCCCGCTCTTCCTTTCCTTTCTTAAATAAACAAGAGGAAGGGTGGAACTCTTTGCAGGGTCTCTCTGCTCTTCAGTGCAGGATCTTCTTCCTCGGTGCTTGGAAAAAGTTATTCTTTTGGATTTCCCAGAATTCTCCAGCCAGCAAAGAGAGAGGGAACTTTTCTTACTAGCTCATGAACCGGAAGGCTAGAGAAGGGGAAACTGTGGGTTTTTGGTTTGGACACTTGGTCTTTGAAGGCATCCTTGAGATTATTTTCCTTCTTCTAAATCCTTGTGTTCTTGTATATGCAGGGGGAGAATTTCTCTGGGTTTTTTTTTTGGGGGGGGTTGCCAGAAAGTCAATGGTTGACAGCTAAGTGCCTAATAATGCTGAATTTTCTATTTCCCACTGGTTCAGCCAATCTGCTGTGCCGTTAATTCCGTACAGGATAGTGACACAAGCTGAGTCAGGCCTGTTTAGGAGCCATACCTTCCACCCTACGAAGCACCTGACATCATTTAGAAACATTAGTTTTTTTTAAGAGGACAGCTTTCAGAATCCTGTGGCCGGCATGAGCACCATGGGAGATATATCCAAACATAAACTTTCACAAACTCTGATCTCCTATTCTGGTGCCTCCTAAATAAGTGGGTCGTCTTTAAATTTTCTTCTTCCAACCAAGCGCTTTTCACGTGCCCAGAGGGATTCTCCTTTGTTGCTCTATCGGGGGTCTGAGCTTGGCAATCAAAACTGGGTGCTGGGAGCCCTGTCGGAGTGCAGTCTGGTTTAAAATTATGTCCCGTTGGTCTTTCCTGGCTCACCCCGGGGGCAAGCAGGGAGCAGAGAATGGCTCCTTTGTCGGACCTCTAGCATCGCTATCTTGTGACACCAATCCGGAGTCGAGTAATGTATTCCACATTCATCTGCCAAAGCAAAGCATGTGGCATCATTTAGCAGACCTCTGGCATCCTCTCCTTCCCCCGCCAGAGCCAAAGAGCCCTCGTGGCTCAGGGAGATAAGACCGAACCGCCAGCCTCCCTTGCTTTTTTTATTTAGATCTCTCATCTTTATTATTTTTCTTTCATCAGCGAGAACAATGAGGCCCCCTTGCTCAGACTTTCCTATGGAACTCTTCGGTTTCCTTTTTTGGTGCGCTGGAACAGGCCCTCGTGAACTTCGGCTGCCAAGAGGCAGGCAGGAGAAGCAGAGGGGATGGCTGGCTTCCAACGGCGAAGGAAGCCGGGGGAACTTGTTTAGATTCGAGGAGGGTGAGGAAAGAAAGGGGTGGCGGTGGATGAGCAAGCCGGGAAAGAATGCTTTCCTCGGGCTGGAAAAGAGCACCCAAATCGGGTGCGAGGTGGAGAACCAAACACCAATGTTTCATATGTGACGTTTTGCCTTTGCTTTGCTTTCCTCCTGCTCTTTTTGCTCTCTGGCCCATTAGAATCACAGAATCATGGAGTAGGAAGGGGCCTCTAAGACCATCAAGTCCAACCCCTTGCTCAAGGCAGGGAATTCAAATCAAAGACGATCTGATAGAAGGTTGTCCGATGTTCTCTTGAGCGCCTCCAAGCATGGGAGCGCTCGCCACCTCCCAAGTTCATTTGGTTCCATTGTTGTACCGTTCTAACAGTTAAGAAGTTTTTTTCCTTCTGATATTCAGCCTTAATCTGGCTTGACTGAGATGGAGGAAGGGGGACAGAGACCACTCTAACAGTTAAGAAGTTTTTTTCCCTCTGATATTCAGCCTTAATCTAGCTTCCCACACTGAGATGGAGGAAGGGAGGGCAGAAGAAACCCCCAGTGATGGATGCTCTCCAATGGCAGGAAACACACATGTCTGATCATACTGGAAAAAGTGGCTTTGCAAGGCGCCATCTTCCTTAAAGTGATCCTTTCGTCCGCCAGGGAATTACTCCACCCAGCCCTACCGCTGGACTTAAAAAAAAAAGAGTCAAGCTTAGGCACGGATCAGGCTGAAGTGCTCTTTCCCCATGTGCTGTGTGTTCCCCAAGAAACAGATTGCATCAGACGGCTCCCTAGGCAGTCCAGAATGTGAGCCCTTTCCCCATGCAATCACTAGTCAATATGAAGTGCGTTAAGTGGCACCCCAGACAGAAAACAAGATGGTGCCCACTCCCACTCCACAGAGAGCAGCGGTTCCCAACCTTTGCTCCCTGGATGTTCTTGGACTGCAACTCCCAGAAATCCTGGCCAGCACAGCTAGTGGTGAAGGCTTCTGGGAGTTGTAGTCCAAAAACTGATAAAAGCAATGAGTTACAGATAACCACTACGGATGTGTCATTTGGGGCTTTTTGGGCTACAGAACTCCTAGTTCTCCATCCTGGGAGTTCCACCTAAAGAGAGACCCACGCTTACAGCTACCAAAATGTGACTCGCCTGGGAAAAGGCGTCTTGGCCTAGAATAGGCCTAACTCTGCCCTGGCTTCCTGTTAGAAAAGGAAGCTAGGCCTAGTCGAGGCCAAGAAGCTTGCCTGTCGTTAGGCAGGCCTTTTCTCCAGGTCAGCCACATTTTGGTATCTGTAGGTATGGGTCTCTCAGATGGCTCTCCCAGAATGGAGAATTATGGGTTCTGTAGTCCAAGTGCTACCTCTAGTGAGTGTGCTACCTGTAAGACAGCAGTTCAAACCTCCCTTGAGCAACACTTTTGGGGACAAGTGAGGTTACCTCTGACCCCACCCGCCTCTTCTCTCTTTCATAGGCTACGACTTCCCAGCAGTGCTGCAGTGGTTCGCCGAACGGGTGGACCTCATCATTCTCCTCTTTGACGCCCACAAGCTGGAGATCTCCGACGAGTTCTCTGAGGCCATCCGGGCCCTCAAGGGCAACGAGGACAAGATCCGGGTGGTCCTGAACAAGGCTGACATGGTGGAGACACAGCAGTTGATGCGGGTCTACGGCGCCCTCATGTGGTCGCTGGGCAAAGTGTTCAACACGCCCGAGGTGCTGCGTGTCTACATCGGGTCCTTCTGGTCGGAGCCGCTGATGATCTCCGACAACCGACGGCTCTTTGAGCTCGAGGAGCAAGACTTGTTCACGGACATCCAGAACCTGCCCCGGAATTCTGCCCTGAGGAAGCTGAACGATTTGGTCAAGAGAGCTCGTTTGGTCAGGGTGAGTACCGGCCGATACTCGTAGAAGACCTGCTCTGTAAGCACAAGAAGCTTGGGTTCCATCCCAGTATTTCCAGTGAGGGCTGTGAAAGACTCCAAAAAGATCTGGAGATGGCCCTTTGCTCTAGCCTTGGCCAAGGAGAAGACCTTTCAGTATGACAGACTCGAGGAGGAAGGGGGACAGAGGGCAGAGGTGTTGGCCAAGTCTTGTTGGCCAAGTCTTATTGGCCAAGTCTTTGGCACCAAGTCTCAAGTCCCTATTAAAAACAAGCTTTCCCCCCCCCCAGAAAAAAGGGAGGAGTAGGTGGGTTCCAAGCCTTTGGGAGGGGGGGAAACAAATGTCCTGAGTCAACTCACTGGTGTAACTCCAGTCTAACTTGACAGTGTGTCCTATGACTTAAGTCCCCATCCCTGGTAGAAAGAGGCCACAGAAAAGCATGGGTTGTAGATTCTGACTACCTATATAGTGCCCCAGGAGTACTATTGAATCACGGCTGGATAGCTCCGGGGTTGAGGTCTCTAGCTGCAGAGGTTGGCAGTTCGATCCCCCCACTGGGCCTCTTTGACAGGGGCTGGACTCAGTGACCTGTAGGGTTCTTTCTAGCCCTGCCGTTCTAAGAGCCTTCTTCCTCTCGTTATTATTATTCCCATCCTGCTTTGTCCTGACTTTGCCCATCAACTTCCCTTCTGGTGGATGTAGCGTTTTCTTGTGGTGGGTTGGAAAGCATTTCACCTTAAAGTAAACCTTCCCCAGACCTGTGGCTTTATAGATAGCGACCTTGGTGGTCTCCCGTCCACCTTCAATGGCAGGGCTACTGGTCGGCTGTAGCCTTAACTCCAGGTCCGGGAATGATCAGAGGAGGGTGCTTTGAAGACACCAAGGACACGGTCGCAACGTCTCGAAGCGCCCTTCCTTGTGTAGGGGAAGGTCCTTGGTCATCCCCCATCATCCCCTTTCCTCCCTTGGAGAAGAAGCCTCCACAGTTGGTCTCAGTGCCTCGTTGTTGTTGTTTTATTGCTGCTTTTCCTGTTCTCCTTAAGGGCAGGGAAGGAGGTCTCCCTGCAAATCCCCTCTTAGAACAATGGCCTCGTCCCCACAGAGGAAATCAGTGTATTGTGCTTCAGGGTACAATGTGTTTATGGGCCTGGCCGCCCCTTTCCTTTTTCCCACTGCACTCCCTCCCTCCCATGCTTGCGTGCATGGTGGGCTGCTGTTTTTCTCGTTAAGCGTTCCTAACGAGCTAGCACCTTCTGAAGCCTTGATTGAATGACTCACCGCCACCTTGCCTGTCGTACTGTGTCTTCGGCTGACATGTGGGCGCAAAGGAAAAACGACTGGATGGCTCAGGGGCGGAGGTCTCTGGCTGCCAAGCCAAAGGTTGGGGGTTCGAATCCCCCACGAGGCCTCCTGGACAGCGGCTGGAGTCAATGACCCACGGGTGTCATTTCCAGCTCTGCAGCGTTAAGGTTATTATTCAAAACCTAGAGGAGCGAAGCAGTACATGAACGCCAAGAGCTGTCCAAAAAGTAGGTGAGACCCAAGCGCCACCTCCTGAAGAGGATCAGCCCTCTTCTGTCCCCACCCAAAAGCTGTTCCACGTCCTTCAGCTAAAGAGTTGTGGGTCTCAACCAATCCCATGACAACGTCTCATGGCAAACGGCTTGGAAGGATTCACAGAAAACGACCTCACAGGAGCACAATTGGACACAACCTTTGTGCACATTTGCTTGTTTGTTTGTGAATGAATAAATGAATGGTATTTTTTTTACCTTTGCCTTTTTCCATAAAAAGGACCCAAGGCGGCTTGCATCATTAAAAGACAGTGTTTAACGCCAACAATGGTGAGGATACAAATGCAAAAAGATTAAACCAATACCATATGGAAAAACATTAGCAGCACGAAAACACACTCAGAGCAGTAAGGTGCAAGGAGAAGTCTTAGGCAGCCAGTCCCTGAGGGAAAGCTTTCCTGGATCGAAAGGGGTCTGCTTGTGGAAAGACAGCACAGATGGGGCCTGCTGGGCCTCTAGTGGGAGAGAGTTTCAAAGTCTGCGAACAGCAACCAAGAAGTGCCACTCAGAGATGCCTCTCAGTGCAACAGGACTGGCTGGCCACATTTTGAAGACAAATGAAGTAAAGTACTTTAAAGGAGGCATGGGTCATGCTGCTAATGGAAATGCAGTCTCTCTCTCTCTTTTGCAACAGAGCAAGAGTTAACCCTGGTGACTTTTCTGTGAGGTGTGAAGCTGTGAGGTAAACTCAGAATCATACATTTGTACCCACTTTGGCCATTCCCACATGCAAGCAGAGGGACAGAGCAGAGTTCTACAGCCTGGCTTCTCTCTCTCTTTCTCTGGATGGATCTTCGTGCCCTTCGCTTCCACCCCACCTAAACATCCTGTCTCATGTGGGCCCTTGAGCCTCTCTCACACCCCAGGCGCCTGCAGTTCTAGCCATAGCCATTCCCTCCAGAGGAGCTGAATCCTGCAGAGATTTCCTTCTGCTCCACACAATGGGGCCATTGCCTCTTGTACAGGAAGCCCTGGGAAATAAATCCAGCTGAGAATCTGGGAAAAAAAACCAACGGACCCAGAAGGGTCAAGTTGTATTTGTTGGTGGTGGTGTTTGTCCCTTGATTGCTCACCTCTTGATTAACAACGGGCGGCAACTCATCAGTTTTGGGAACACGCAAAGAGATAAACAAGATTGTGTTCCTCTCCGCTTCACCACCTAGATTTCCTTCCGTCGCCACAACCCGAGGTTCTCTTTCCAACGCTCAGCTTTTTAACATTCAGGATGTTCTAGCTGCTTGGCCTCACTGGCCCTCTCATCCCATGGGCCCTTTTTCCACCAGATATGCCCGGTCACTCACTCTCTCTCTCTCTCTCTTTTTCCCCAACTCCGAGGATGTCAGAGGGCTGCTGAACATTCCATGACCTCACAGCAGCTCAGCCAGTGGGAGACCAGAGCACTGATTTTCAGAGGCATTGGTTTGGGCTCCTGTCCCAAAGACTCTATATGGATCTAACAAAGGGTGAGAGCACCCCCAAATATTTAATGCGTTCCCCCTCTTTCCCAACCTCCAGGTCCATGCCCACATCATCAGCCACCTGAAGAAGGAGATGCCATCAGTTTTTGGCAAGGAGAATAAAAAGAAGCAGCTTATCAACAAGTTGCCCGTCATCTTTGCCAAGATTCAGCTGGAGCACCACATCTCGCCGGGCGATTTCCCGGACTGCAACAAGATGCAGGTGAGGGGAAATTCCTCACTTGACCACAAGACATTGACTTGGGGGTTGGGCAGGCAAAACTAGGGATGGGCACGAACTGGTTCGTCCCAGTTCGTCAAGGCGGGAGCGCAGAAGCTACTGCTCCTTTCTGCTGCCTCCTCAGGCAATCAGCCCCTCACCAGGCCCCGCTGGCTTGCTTTCCCTGCCTCCTGGGCTGATCTTCCAGTCATGAGCAAGAGCACAGACCTCTCTGCCCTGCCCTCTTCTCTGATTGGCAGATCAGCCCAGAGGGGAGGGGCAAAGAAGCCTGAGCTCTTGCCAGGACTGGAAGATCAGTTGAGGAGGGGCAGGAAGCTGGCACGCTGGGCCTGGCAAGGGGCTGATTGAGCCGGAGGAGGCAGAGGGATGGGATGGATGATCCCTAGGGTCCCTTCCAGCTCTGCAATTCTGAGATGATGATAATGGTGATGATTAAATATTCCTCATGAAAAAGAAAGCCTGAACACAGATAGCAAATACACCAGAGAGAAGGCTAGACTACAGATTCCCCTCCCATCCCAGTGGACGTGGTTTTTTCCCCTCCATGTGTGTCGCTCCCCACATGACGCTGCCTGAAGCTGTGGAATCCACAACAGTTTCCCATGACACAATGAGGAGTTTGTCAGCTAGACAGCCTCCCAGCTAAGGCTCGTTCCCAGCCAGGGAAACCACATTTTCTGTGTGGAAGAAGCAATGTTTATTCAAGAAACATAAATTCTTTATGCTTCTCTGTAGGTGCTCAACTGCATAAGCAATATATGGAAATATTCTATTTTAGCATCCATCATGATGCCGAGCAGCAGAGAAGGAGAAGCAGTAATGCCTGAGAGGTGGTAAAGAGAAGTGGATAGTTTGATGTGGCCTTCTGGCAGCTTCTTAAGAAAGATGAGCATCACGCCAGGCCTTCCTTCATCAGCCACTAGTGTGTGGTGATGCACACAGATGAGCATTAGGATCTCTTCACTATCGGTTGACTCTGCAGTTCTCCACTTTTGGCTTTCCAGAAGTCTTGGTCTTCAACTACCAGAAGCCCTAAGCAGGGTGGCCAGTGACCAGGGATTCTGGGATTTGAAGTCCAAAACATCTGGAAAGATAAAGGCTGAAAACTACCAGCTTCTAATTGCATTTAGTGCAGTTCCTGACGCCTGCTAAGACTGAATCACTGACTATAGCATGCCAAGACATTATCCTAAGCCAATGGTTCCCCGCCTTGGGTCCCCTGATGATCTTGGACTACAACTCCCAGAAGTCTTCACTCCCAGGAATTCTGGGAGTTGTAGTCCAAGAACATCTGGGGACTCCAGGTGGAGAAGCGCTGGCCTAAACTATGCCATTTCCATTTCCCTGCTTTTTATTTTTTTTTATTTTTCCTCTCTTCTCTCTTTTCCTCCAGGAAATGCTGATGGTGCATGACTTCACCAAATTCCATGGCCTGAAGCCACGCATGATGGACGCTCTGGACGAGCTCATGACGCTGGACATTGCTAAACTGATGCCCCTTTTGCGCCAGGAGGAGACGGAAGAAGCAGAGCAGGTGGTGCACGGCGGCGCCTTTGAGGGCACCCGGTACGGCCCCTTCATCGAAGGAGCCACCGAGGGGGCGTACGAAGGGATGGACGAGGACGAGTGGGTGGTGACCAAGGACAAGCCCAAGTACGACGAGATCTTCTACAACCTGTCCCCGATGGACGGCAAGCTGAGCGGCACCAAAGCCAAAAACTGGATGGTCACCACCAAACTGCCCAACTCGGTCCTCGGCAAGATCTGGAAGCTTAGCGATGTAGACCGGGACGGCATGCTGGACGACGAGGAGTTTGCGCTGGCCAGCCACCTCATCGAGGTGAAGTTAGAAGGCCACGGCCTGCCGTCCGACCTGCCCCGCCACTTGGTCCCTCCCTCCAAGCGTCGGCAGAAAGGGTCGGCTGAGTGAGAAGACTTTCGCCAGAGCTCGCTCTGTCTCCCCGCCAGGCTTGAACTGCTCCAGTCGGCTCTGGTTCTTCTCCAACACTCCTTTCCCAGTCCTATCAAGCTTACAAAGACGTTATCTTCCAGTCTTCAGCCCCTCATGAAGGCCTCGCATCCTCATGGCGGTTGTTGTGCACGGCATTGCATTGCCAGGTGTTATTTTTCTGCTCATTCCTTCACGCCGTGCGACACTTCGACCTTCTGCTTCGTCCTCTGCCATTACTGGGTCCAAAACTCCTCACTTCTTCCAATCTGGTTTAAACAACTCCAGTTGGGTTGCAAAATTCAGCCTCTCGACTTCTGTCCTCCTGGCTTCCTCCCTAATAAGAATGGCTTTCTACTTAGGTCAGACCGTTCCATGGGGCTTTCCTCCTTCAAGTTCTATCCTCCAACTCGTTTTACTGTGCGTGGATCCTTTCTGTGAGAACATGGCTTTCTTCACACTGGGCTTGGATCATTCTAGGGTTTGGCCCCACAGCAGAGAAAGAGAAGACCAACCCAGAAAATAAAGTTTTGTTCAAACGATGTGGATATTCGCCTTTTTTTCGTAGGCCTCTGCCTTGCCACCAGCTTGCAGACCAGATCCCCACCTTGCTCGCTTCATCTACTGTATTAGAAATGTCAAAGATCTTGTCTACATTAAACTTTTGTTACAGGGATACTTCAGAGGTGCTTTGGACATTTCCCTTCTTGCTGAACATGGACTTCATCTATGGCCGTAGTGACTCCCTTTACTGAACCCAAGGATTGGAAACAAGTAAGGCAAGAACGAAGCCAGCCAAAGAAGGAAAAGCCAGAAAAAAGTCGCCGCCAGATTATACACGCCTGTGAGGAAACCTGATCCAGAATTCCCTTTCCAGAGATTCGTAGGCTTGGTGCAGCCTCGCCTTCCCACACCTCCGTTATGTCAGAATCCACAAGGTGAATCCACACACAGGAACCTGGAGAACGTAGGCTCACACCCTCATCTTCCTTTCCACGAGGTTATGTGCTGAGCGCTCACCTGACTGGGAAATCAGGACATAATTCTCTAAACAGAGAGGTGAAATTAGGAGAAGCCCTTGATTTTATGGAACATCCTTGGTGGGAAGGCAGGGGCCCCCCTACATAGCAAATGCAGGTATCGGCCCTATCAGTAGAAAAGATTGGGAAATATAGCCTAGTACAGCCAGATTTGGGGGTACCACTGAGAGGGTAACACGACAAGGGTTCCATGTACAGTTTAAAATTCATCGGGGTGCCCTTTGGATTTTGTACCTCGGAAAGCGAAATGCCTTAAGACCATCTCTGGGGACAAATGGTGTCCACCCTCCTGCTCTGCCCAAGGGCACTGTGTCCTTCTCACTGGTGTCACAGCCTCCTTCCATTTTGTCTAGATTTTGCCACATCCCCCAAAGTCTTGTAATTCAGCACCTCACCTCCTAGACATGACACCGTTTCTCTCCTTGGTCCTGAAAAAAAAAATGGCCACAGAGAAGCCATCGGCCTCACACCCAAGAGGATTCGTCCGGTTGCAAGAAGAGGCAGTTGCATTGGTTAAGGAAGTTGAATGGGGGGCTGCCGTTCAGAGTTTGGGGACTGAGGCAAGTGGGGGAGGGTGGATGTGGGAGCTGAACACCAAGGAATGCCGGGATGAATAAATCTGGGCTTTGGGGAGCAGGAAAAGAGAGGGAACAATTAAGGATGGGGTGCCCTGCCAGAAAGATAAAGGTTCTGCAGAGTCTCTGGTTAAAATGTGAGGCTATGATGGGAGCCCACTTAGATGCTGAAGATGTGAAAAGGGGAGTCCGTTCCCTGAACTTGGCTGCATAGGAAATATTTCCAGCTAGGAGGAAGGAAGAGAAGGATCGGGCTTGTAGTAGAACCCTGGCTTCTCTCAGCCTCGGTCCAAGCGCTCCCTGGCGTTTCTGAAGGAGAAGGTGGTTAATTACAGGCTGGCTTCTCTGGAAGACATCCTGCCCATTGCTACCTGGACTCCATAAACCAGAAGTGGGCAAGGGGTGGGTGGTCCTCCAGAAGCCAGTGGACTGCAACACCCCCCCTCATCTGTAACCACTGATCACAGATCAGTGCAGTCATAATGCTGCCACATCTGGAGGGGAAAACATCTGGAGGGCCACATCCTAACCTTGCAAAGTAGTCCTGTTTTGGGACTCAATCTCAGGACAAAATCAGTCTGTGAATGCAGTTCTGGCACCCTGGTTTTTTTTTAATCAAGTGAATGGCAACCACAGGGAAATGTAGCATTCCTGCAATTGACCTCATCACCTGGTTTGGCCCTTCTGGGTGTTTTTATCACAGCAGGACCTTCCTATCTGTGGGTTCAGTATCCACTGATTCATTTATCCGTTCCCTGGAAACATTAAATTAAAAAAAAAAACAGAAATAAGTATTTCGACCTCATCACCTGGTTTGGCCCTTCTGGGCATTTTTATTACAGTAGAGCCTTCCTATCTGTGGGCTCAGTATCCACTGATTCATTTATCCATTCCCTGGAAACATTAAATTTAAAAAAAAAACAGAAATAAGTATTTTCAGGGTGTATTTACTAGAACAGGCCACTAGAGGGAGCCAGGGACTGTGCAATTTATAGTACAGTATTTGATAAATCCACATTTTTCGGTATCTGCGGGGAGGGGGCTTGGAGCCAATCCCCCACAGATATTGTGGTCCGACTGTATCCCAGTGCTTAGACACAGGCAACCCTTATAGAGAGGGAGGGTGCCTTCTAGATGCATTTCTACCCAAACTAGAGCCTGGCTTGTTTTTAGGGTGGATGGGTGCCCTTCTCTCTGGTGCTCGACGCAAGCTGTGGGTCCTCTTTTACTGCTGGGGGCAACCCTCTCTATCCCTCACTTGCGTAGCTCTTCCCTTTCCGAGATGACCAAAGTACTGTATTGCATTGCGGTTCGCAATCGGTGCGATCAAGACACACCTTGTGACCTTGCGAGAATGGAAGAGGGAGCCGTCTGCATTGCCAGTTTAAGTCCAGTTTTATCCTAGGGTAACTGTCGTGGCTTTTGCACCCCCCAAAGCAAAAATCCTGGGAATTGTCATTTAATCCATGTACTGAGTCTTCTTTCTGTTGAGATTCCTAGTTTCCTATCACAGATCTCCTGTTCCACAGTGCGAGGGGTGGGGGACAGCTTGTACATTTCCCCCCCCCACTGTGTGTTTTCACAGCAGAAAAACTGGAGAGCTGACCATAGAGATAAGAAAGAGCTGTACTGCTCCCCACTGACTTTCTCAAGGTTCACAGCGACACCTCTATGGAGGACTGGGAAACACTCCTGCGCAGGATTGTGTCTCTTCCACAACAACATTCCAGGAAATCCATGCCCCATCACAGAGCTCTGAAAATTTCATCTGCTGGACTACATGGCCCAGAACCTCCCAGCCAAACATGGTCACATGTAGTCCAGAAAAAAAGCAACTAGCGCTTGCCGTTTCAGAAAACACCCACTTCCTATTAAGGATGGGAAGAGTAAGCATAGAAGGGTCCCCATATATTGGAAACAATGGCATGTCATTATTATTATTAGTTAGCTAAACCAGTGTTTCCCAACCTCGGGTCCCCAGATGTTCGTGGACTGAAGATTCCACAAATCCTGGGCAGAACAGCTACTGGTGAAGGCTTCTGGAAGTTGTAGTCCAAGAACATATGGTTGGGAACCACTGAGCTAGATATGTGCTGTCACCTGTCTGTGAATCCCTTCAGGTTATCGGCTGAGCTGTTCTGATGCCCCCGAATCTACACGATTTATCAGTAGCCTAGGACCGACAGTCCATCTAGCCACCTTGGGTGCTTTTAAGGAGAAAGGTGGGGTAAAAATATTTTAAACAAACAAACAAATAAATATAGTTCTGCATAAGGAAAAACAGCTGGGGGAGGTTCTGTGCAAGGAGGATGGAGTAGGGGAGTGAAAGATCGGAGAAAGTCTGGATTCCACATGTTTGCTCAAAACAACAAACCAAGTCTTAACTTGCGGATCTCAAGTTATGTATATTTGTAAATGTCTGCTTAGCCTTTCGTAGCTTTACGGATCTGTTTGTTTTCTTTGGATATTTTTTCAAGTAAGTTTTTTTTTCTTTTTAAGTTAAGGGGATGTTAGTCAACAATGGGTGTGACAAGGAGAAGAATCTCTCTAAAATGAGGTTCTCAGCATGTCAGCTTCCTTGTCACACAACTAGTTTTGCATGGGCGTGGCAAGCTTACAGTTGTGTGTAAAACACACAACATTCTCTCCACGGATTGTATGCTCTTGTTAAGAACAAACTTCTACCAATAGGTGTAGTCTAAATTTGCTGTCCAGGTGCCTTTACCAAGGACAACCGGCCAAGTTTATGCTCATGTAAACAGTGTGTGGAGTACACAAAGACAGAGAGAGAATTGTATTTCGTATTTTTAATCCAGATTTCCACCCGGTTCTATTCCTTTGTGCACAATAGGTTTTCTGGAATGTTTCTCCTTTCTCTGCCATCAAACCTTGCGCTGAAGCTGGTTCCTTATCACGCCTTAGCATCAACTGTAGTGTTATGGCTTGGCAAAATCACATGTGTATTATTGTTCGACGCGTAACAGCCGCGTGTCATCTGCCTGCCTGTCTTGCAATTTGCCTTGATGCTGCTGTAATTGAGGCTTCTGGACCGGGTGAAACAGACTAGGATCATAACATGCCATGGTCATTCAGATACAGGAGACCGGCATGAAATTTCCAACTGTGATGCGTGTCTAGAGCATGCTTCTTCTTAAACCTCATCCTGCACAGTAGCCCACCTTAGGGGCATGGGTCCTAGCCTGCAGTCAGGGCTCCCAGCTATATTCTGAATCACCTGTTAAAATCCAGCTTCTGAAACCGGCCATCCTCAAAGATTACAGCCAGAAACTATTCTGCCAATTTTCTATACCAAATATAGAATACCTTTGTTTACATTTGCTTAGCCATGCCTGGTTTGATTCTGTTTCCAAAGGGCCTTCAAGAGTTCCTGCATCTGCAAGGTGCATTTATTGTAAGGGTGGGGGAGCATCTCCCCCCTTGACCCCATCTTTTTTTGGGGGGTACCAACATAGCTGCCCTGTTAAGCAAAAACTGACCGCTCACCAGCAGAGATCAAAAGAATAATGGATTTGCTGGGCCTTGCTGATCAAGATAAACTGAAATCCGGCTGCAACTCTTTTCACAGTTTGTCTAAAGATCTGAACTCTAGAAAGGAACTTTTCTGCTTTCACAATGTGCCTCTGTTAACTGTTACAGCATTCATCTGGAATAAAACATGTTGTATTTACCCAACTTAAAACCTCATTTCATGTCCGTGCTGTCATAATAATGGGTTTGTGGGCAAGGAATATGAGAAGCCCCATCGTACTCCTCTATCTAGTTCTGGTTTGTCTATAGCGTAACCATAATTCTGACTGGCAGCAGCACCTCTCCCGAGTATGGGATCAGAGTTTTTCCCACCCCTACCTGGAGGTGCTGTAGAATCAAACTTGGGATAGTCGGCATACAAAGCAAAGTGTCCTGTAATCCTAGGATATAGGTCTTGCCCCTAAAAATTAAGACTGTAGTCCTCAAGTTTCTGAATAATCATCTTGCTCACAGAGTGTATCTACGGGGCATAGTTCTAGCAAAGTTATAAAGCGATGCCATTTTAATGACATGGCTCTGCCCTAGGGAATCCTGGTATTTGTAGTATGGTGAAGTAGTTAATATTCTTTACTGTAATTTGTTGAGTAGACAAAACCTCCAAAGCATGGAATTTTAACTCCACCACCAAGGGCTTATTTAAATTATTGATTAACCCCACGATATGCATAGGAGTGTTTTTTCTGTAGCAAGGTAAGTCACATGGTGTATGATTTGCTGTCTACGCAAACTGCAAATCCCAGTAGTATTCCATACGATGGAGCCATGACCGCTAAACGTGGGATCGATTGGCTCAATGTATTGTTCAGACACCGTTTCCTTGCAGCCGGACTTAAGAGAGAACTCCGTCTCACCCAGAAGGTCTGTTTTTAAGGCCTGGTCCAAAACAAGCCACGATTGTTTCAGGATTAGCCACTGCAAAGTAAATCCCTCATATCTGGTTCGTTTAAAAACTCAAACGTTTTTTTAAAAAAAGAAAGTTGGGTTGATGTTGGGAAAATATTCTGCCTCTCTGGTCTCAGGAGATGCGCTCTGACCTGGAAAGCTGAAAGCGTCTTTTGTCCACCACTGGGAAAAGTAAAAGAAGCTTGGAAACCGTTCTGCTTTTGCGTGGCGACCCATTTCTCCTGTATGAAACCAGCGTTCCTGGGGGCCACTGGCCAGTATCTAGAGCCCGGAGGGGAGGGGAGGCCGTTTTGGTGTCCAGCACAGCTTTTCTGTCTGGCCGTGGCCAGTGGCCCCCAGTCTGTGACTCACCCGCTGGGCTGGCGCCAGAGAACTCCTCGCCCAGCCAAAGGAAACTTTTGCATTCCTTTCTCCGGCCAAAAAGAACAGGCAGTACCAAAGCTGCTCAGAACAAGCAATCCCACAGCAGGAGTGGGACTGGAACAACCCATCTCTGACCCAGCCCCACTGATAATGTTCCTCGTTCCCCTCAACCAGGGTCCCCCCACTCGGTGTTTGCAGTCCTAACTCCTCCATGTGTCACTGGTGGGTGGAACTGCCTCGTGCTTTATGGGATGCCTTGCAGCGGCACAACGGAGGGCCAAAACCAGAGGTTCGGAAAAATGCGTCTTTCCTGCTCTTAACTACGTACATTTCTTTCCAGCAAGGAGACTTCCTTTGTTATGTATACCTCAGTAATTAGACATGCAAAGGAAGTTGTTAACGTCCAAGAGGTAAATTCTGATGGCGCTTTTAAAAAAATGATTTTCACAACTGCACCTTTTTTGCTGTTTGAGAGAGCACAACTTCTAGAGATGGAATCCACATTTTTTTTCCATTTTAGACTAGGGAACCACAGGATTCTGCAGGAGGGACCTAAGAGGAGGTATGGTTTTTGACTGAGAGAAAAGACCATTTTAAAGAAGTTAAACTCTTCTGTTAAATGTTAGGAAAACAGAAACTCTAAAAAGCTAATTTTAAAATATGCATCTACCAAAAATAAAATATGTAAAAAATTAAGTAACCCTTATAACCTCTTAATATTCTGTCTGCTCACTTATACTTAGGTTATCCTTTTCTGGTTCACTTTTTTTCTCCCTGCTTCCCAGCTCTGAACCCAGGAATTCTCAAAAGGTTTTTCTGGGTTAAGTTGACCGGAGGAAAATTGTTTTACTCCTCTGTTGGCCAGCTGAAGAGCTATTTCCGGGCCAAAACTCCCATTGATATAAATCTCCAGATGTCCCAAAAGCATGCAGCAAAAATCAGATCAAATTTCCTACACCAGAGTGTGGATTTTTTTTGAATCCCACGGCCAATATTCTGGGAGTTGCAGTCCAAAAAAGGTCCAAGTTGGTCCTCACATCACAGACGTGGGAGGCAGGATGTGCGCTAGATCAGGGCTGTGCCAAGAATGCTTCAGAGTCGCTGGCAAAGAGGTGGGTGAGCAGAAGCGTCTAGGCAGGAAAAGGGGTAAATGATTCTTAGAAAGAGAGGGAGACCCACAAAGCCAGGAACACAATTTCGTTGTGTGAACAGCAGCCAGCTGCTTTTCAGCCACCTCCCACACAACCTGTGGATTAGCTCCTCTCACGCCTCGTCATTGTCCAGCAGGTAGTACGTTTTGGAAGGCCACCGGGTCTTAGTCCTTGAGAAGGCCAACAGGGTAGAGGCTGCTGGATGCTGACACAAGCAGACGTCCTGGGTTGCAAAATCTGTTAAAAACAAAACAAAACAAGGGATCCCAAATCTGCCTGCCAAGCAGTGTAATAATTTATGTTAGGAAAGACGCCCAGAACAAACTCACGGGGCTGTTGTGCAAACACACAAAAGGCAACACCAGCATTCTGAATATTTCAAAACACAATCAAACACAGAGAAATCACAAAATGTCTTTGGAAGTCTCTTTCCGCTCATCTTCTCGCCTGACCTGGCTAAACACACCCCTTTCAGCAGCTAAACACCAGCATTCTGAATATTTCAAAACACAATCAAACACAGAGAAATCACAAAATGTCTTTGGAAGTCTCTTTCCGCTCATCTTCTCGCCTGACCTGGCTAAACACAGCTGCACACCCCTTTCGGCACCTGGACAGACAGAGTTTGGAAAAGTTACTTTTTTTTAGACCCCCATCGGCCAGCTTGCCTGCAGGGTCACGGTCCCACAATTCTGGGAAACGGGAGTCCAGAAATGTTACTTTCTGAAACTCTGTGCGTCCACCTCATGGGCATCGGTGTCCTGATCATTTATTGCACAGTCTGCTCGTGTTTCTTTTCCCTTGAGTGTGTGCATAAAAATAAAAAGATACAGTATATAAAGAGGACATCAGGATTGCCTTTACGACATGCAGAAAAAAGAGAGAAAGAGACATCAGAAAAAGACACGGCTGCAGGGATTAATCCTGACTTCAGGCGCAGAGGGGGGTCCTGCACCTCCCAAACTGGTAGATAGATGATGCAGCATGAAAGCAATGAGAAACATCCGTTGGCTTTAGAAAGTCTGTGAAAACAGTGAGCAGCTGATCCGTTGCCCAGGGCTGGAAAAACAAAATTACAGCCCTCCAGAGCCTCTGCCAGACCCACCCAGAGCCCAGCCCTTCCGAAAGACTGGAGTGAGCCTGCTGCCCCCTTGCGGCGGCAGAGAGGCCCGTGGGAGGGATTTTTATGAGATAAACTGACTGTCAATCTAATCCAGCACTAGCCAGTCATTCCCTCCCATTCAAAGAGAGCCCGCCTCTCTGCTGAGTGCTCTTTTCCCCTCTCTTTAATCTGTTGAAAGTCGGCCAGTGGGCTTTTGATCTGTTCACAATGGTTAAGCACTGAAACATTGTGTTTTTTTTAATCTGTTGTCCTAGAAATGAGTGATTGAGACCTCAAGAGCCAGTTCATAAGAAAGGGGTGGACTCTGGGGTAGTTGTTGCTATTCTCCTCTGTACTTCTACTTCATAGCAAAGGGATTTTACTGCTTGGTTTATACCAGGGATGTCCCCCCTGTGGTCCTCCAGATGTTCTTAGACTACAACTCCCATCAGTGTAAGTTTTGGAGAGGGATCATTGTGTGTCCCTTCACTGTATGCATGTGAGTCACAATATTTCCAAACAAAAAAGGGTACATTTTCTTGTGTGCCTATAGTGTCGCCATCATCCCACAATGGATTGTATTCTGCGGCTGCTTCCACACCTGTCTTATCACACCTTAAAGGCTTTTCTCCCCTGTCCTTATTCCCTTATTCGTGAACAGCACAAACTAAGGAACTCAGCAGGACTTATTCCTAGGTTAAGCTCAGTTGTGATCTGCAACTGTCTTTCCTAATGTGGTTTTCAGCACCTGGAAAGTGTTGTGTGGTTTAGCAAAAAAAAATTTAGGGGGTTGCCTCATGAATTTAGACATCCTTCCTCTCCCACTATCTTGCCACCTTAAGTCAGTATTGTAGCTGCCTCTGCTCCAGCCACAACCGTTGTCGAAAACAACAGGGTTTTTTAAAATCTCACACGAGACCCACAACATCTTAGCGTTCACTGGAGTACCGGAAGTTTCGGTTGACTATGACCTTCTCTACCCTCTATGGGTTGAAAGCCCTTCTCCACCAGCCGGAAGTTGCCTTGGAGGCGGCGCGCCTGCCTCTCCCAAAATGGCGGCGGCGGCGGAAGTGTCCTTCCCGCGCAACACTTCCGCTTCCGCCCCTCTTCTCTTTCTCGTGGCCCAAGATGGCGGCGCCGGCGTCGGGAGGTCCTGAGGGCACGTCTTCGTTCCTCGGCTTCGGCCCCAATTCCCGCGACCCGGGCCGGCCCAAGTCGCGGCGTGTGGGCGGCCAAGGGGCCCGGAACCGCAAGAAAGGCTGGAAGCGGTGGCGGGGGCCCGAGGCCCAGCTCGGCCGGGACCTGGGAGACTGGCTGGAGGAGGCGTCGTCCGAGCTGCGGCAGTTGGGGTGAGGAGAGAAGGGAAGGGAGGCCGGCCGGCCCCTCAGGCAGACCCTTTACCGAGCCGGTATTGGGCAGGTTTCCTCCAGGAAGCCGAACCTTGGGCCTCCAGATGTTCTTGGACTACAACTCCCAGAAGCCTTCACCACCACCTCTGCTGGCCAGGATTTCTGGGAGTTGAAGTCCAAGAACATGTGGAGGCCCAAGGTTGGGGAACCACTGATATAAAGTACATACCAGGCTTTATTAGAACTTTAGCATCTCGTTTGGTCTCTACCAGCTTCGACGTGTATGTATCGTATAATTTATATTATGCTTAGTTCCTGAAGGTTTCTACTGATACTTGTCAAGCATGAAGCTCTTTAGATCAGAATAAAGTCTGCGTTGTTAATATTTTTATACGGCTTGAGACTCGGCCTCCTGTTTTCCGTTTTGCCACCAGTGGATGAACCAGTTCCCTGGGCTTTGTCTCATCCTGACCTGCCTCACGGATTTAGCTGGCACGCAAGAGGCCTCAGGAGGACGTGGCTGGGCTCTGGAGAGGTGGTGGAGAAGGGAGGAATAGTAGCTGGGGATAAAGTCAAAGCCAGGGTTGAGGGCCTTGTATCCAGGGGCCAGCCGTGGAATTGCTGGAAGTTGGAGACATGGGGTATGCTATAGCAGTGGTCCCCAACCTTGGGCCTCCAGATGTTCTTGGACTACAACTCCCAGAAGCCTTCACCACCACCTCTGCTGGCCAGGATTTCTGGGAGTTGAAGTCCAAGAACATGTGGAGGCCCAAGGTTGGGGAACCACTGATATAAAGTACATACCAGGCTTTATTAGAACTTTAGCATCTCGTTTGGTCTCTACCAGCTTCAACGTGTATGTATCGTATAATTTATATTATGCTTAGTTCCTGAAGGTTTCTACTGATACTTGTCAAGCATGAAGCTCTTTAGATCAGAATAAAGTCTGCGTTGTTAATATTTTTATACGGCTTGAGACTCGGCCTCCTGTTTTCCGTTTTGCCACAACGTGTATGTATCGTATAATTTATATTATGCTTAGTTCCTGAAGAAGGTTACAACGGACACTTATCAAGCGTGAAGCTCTTTAGATCAGAATAAAGTCTGTGTTGTTAATATTTTTATACAGCTTGAGACTCAGCCTCCCAGTGGATGAACCAGTTCCCTGGGCTTTGTCTCATCCTGACCTGCCTCACGGATTTAGCTGGCACGCAAGAGGCCTCAGGAGGACGTGGCTGGGCTCTGGAGAGGTGGTGGAGAAGGGAGGAATAGTAGCTGGGGATAAAGTCAAAGCCAGGGTTGAGGGCCTTGTATCCAGGGGCCAGCCGTGGAATTGCTGGAAGTTGGAGACATGGGGTATGCTATAGCAGTGGTCCCCAACCTTGGGCCTCCAGATGTTCTTGGACTTCAACTCCTAGAAATCTTGGTCAGCAGAGGTGGTGGTGAAGGCTTCTGGGAGTTGTAGTCCAAGAACATCTGGAGGCCCACGGTTGGGGACCACTGTGCTATAGGATACATCAAAGGGATGTACTGGATAGCTCGGTGATCTAGGTCTCCGGCTATGGAGCCAGAGGTTGGGACTTTGATTCCTCCCCCCCCCCGCCACTGTGCCTCCGGCAAGTAGAACCAGCCTCAGTAGCCTTGGGCAAGCTGCACAGTTTCAGAGCTGCCCCCAGAAGAAAGGAGAGGTTAGACTACTTTTGAGTATTCTCTGCCTGCAAACCCCTGAAAAAAGGGTCACCAAAAGTCAGAATTGACTTGATGTCATGTGGTACTACTTCTGAGTATTTTCTGCCTGGAAACCCCCTGAAAAGGGTCACCAAGTCAGAATTGATGGCACATGATGATGAAATCAGAACCCTAATAGAGATAACGTGTGTGTGTACATGTTAATCAACTGTTTATGCTTTTTAGTTACATTTTTTGGGGTATAAGAGCTATACATGGATTTTGAAGTACATGAGGGTCCTCCCCCCCATTCCCAGTATTGTTAAAAGGAAAAGTGTACAATATATGAATTTAGGAAGGGGCTATATACTGAGTCAGATCGTTGGCCCATCTATCTTAGTTTTTGTCAACTCCAGCTGACAGCAATGGCTGTCATGGCTTTCAGGCAGGACCCTTTACCTGGTCGTCTCCTTGTGCAGTCTTCCAGTCAACTCCTGACTTCCTCTCCTTCTGACATCAGATGAGGTTAGTGTGTTCAGAGTCCTAAGGAGAGTATATTTTGGGTCTAGAAGGAGAAGGTTTGGGATTAGAGCATATTGTAGTTGACCTAAATTAGGATGGTCTTGTTGGGAAGGAAAGCAGGTAATTACATCGATCTTTGGAGGCAGCAGAAGGGGGCAGGGTTCAGGCTAAGAGCTCCAATGGTGGTTTGGGGACTGGAGAACATTTCAGGGTTCGTTCAGAATTAACGGGCTCCCTTTCTTCTTCAGAGAACCAGTGTCAGAGAAACCAAATGAAAGCCTCTTCTTTGTAGACGTCGGCAGCGAAGAGAAAGGTAAGGTGTGGCAAATAAGAAGGCAGAGTTACTCTTGGTTGGATCTGAATTCCCGGAGAAATGGGAGCCTTAAGTGGACGTCAGGAGTGGGATTGGTCACTTCCCATTTTGGGTGGTCCAGATTGTTCGCTGTGCCATCCCGATGAACTCTGTGCTTATATTTTTTTCTCAGGCCAAAAACAGAAGCGTGCCAAAGATAAACCCTTGAGGATTGACTTAATTCTACAGCCAGATGCTAAAGTGCCTCCACCCAAAAAGTGAGTAGTTGTTTCTTTTCCTTGAGGTGGAGCAAAATCCTTAACCTCTCTGGTACTTAGGATATCTCACCCTCCTGGATGTGAACCTCTGGATTTGCTTTTTTGTGATGCAGGAAAGGGGAAAGGGGACGGAATGATCTGGTGCAAGTGTTCCCCAGGCCTAGCTTGATCTAGCGCTTCCCTTTGTCTCCTTCAGTGTCCTTGCGCATCAGGTCCCCAATGGTAAGAAGCTGAAGAGGAAACAGCAGTTATGGCAGAAGCTGGGAGAGAGAGGGCTGCTGCCCCGCAAAGAGCGCCTCCTTCAGGAGAGATTAAAGAGGACACCAGCAGTGAATGCCAGCACCACAGAAACAGATGCCGGCATGAACCCCTCAAGGGGGTTTTATGATATTTGGTCAGACTCAAGTAAGTCAAGATGTGAGAGAAGCTCATACCTAGAATTTTGGATGTTCTGCTTAAAAGCCCTAGGAAGAGAAGGAGGTCTTGTGAATTGTCATTGAGCAGGAGGCATTTTCGTTGTCCTTGTTCTGAGAAGGGTGCGGTGGGTTGGTTCTTTGGCGAGGATGAGTTCTTTGTCAAGTCTCGGTGGGTTAAAGTGGCTTTGTTATCACATTACTAAATGCTAGGGTGTGGGCACACAAGCCAAAGAAGCGTTGCAAGGAATAAGACTTGTTTGAAACATAATAATAATCTTAGAACGGCAGCGCTGGAAGGGGCCCCGGGGGTCACTGAGTCTAGCACCTGTCCAGGAAGCTCCTTGGGGGGGAATCGAACTCCCAACCTCTGGGTCTGCAGCCAGAGATACCTCAACCTGTGAGCTGTCCAGCGGTTCCTCTGCAAAGCCGAGTGCTTCTGATGCCCCCACTTTGTCAAAATGACGGTCCGACTTGCATTTCCCCAGGTACCTTCCCTGCTGTTGAAGGAAGAGGAACTGCTTCTCTTCCAGGCTCCTGGGGATAATGCTGGAAACCAGCAGTCAGAGTGGCAGAGTGTATATTGTGGTGTTGCCCCCCTCGGTCCCCACCCTCTGTTGCCCTCTTTTCTACAGCACACTTTGTTGTTTCCACCTTCCCCAATTTTTGATGTAACTTCTTTTGAAGTGTGTGGAAACGGCTTCACAGATCCAGCCCCTTGATCTGAACTATGTCGTTTTGGCCTTTCTTTAATGGGTGCGAGCCTGCATTTTTTTCTGCTTTCTTCCTGTATTAAAAACTGTCTTCTGGATCCTGCTTTTTCGTGCTGCTTGGGGTGCACGGGAACTGTTTTCAGATGGCATGATTTAAATGGATGCCTTAAAGCAGGCGTGTGAGATGTTATGCTGTTTTGCTTTGGAATGTTTTTTTTTAGCAGTTTAATCTAGATACAATTGTCCCACAAAGGATCTGCTTGCCGAGATTCTTCTAGCATAGAATGACATGTTTCCTAGTTTGCTCCAAGAGACAGTGGTTTCTTCAGGTTTGATGTTTGAGTTGTGGGCAAAACATCCAGTTGTCCTTCACGTTGACCGATGACCATCACCTCAGTGACTCCCCTGGCTGGAAAGGATGGGGTTTGTAACGTGACCCATTTTTAGGGGGAGAACCAAAAATGATAGCCATATGGTTCTTTACACAAATGTGAAAGTACAAGAGCCAGTACTTTTATTTGGACCACTAAAAATCAGACTTTTAATGCAAGCTTTTGTGAATAAAATTCACTTCCTGTGGAATAGAGTAGAAAAATTATGGATCAAAGTCTTTCATGACAGAAACCCTCTGGACATGCTGCTTGTTACTTAAATTGAGCTGAAAGCTGGTTTCCACTACGTTGGGGGTGGGTGGGTGTTTCTAAGCACACACACACCCACCCCAGTGCCATTTGGTTGGAATTTTCTACTCAGGCTCGAAGGTAGGAATGAGTTGATTTTCAGAGCACCAGGTTGGAGTAGGCTGGTCTGAGTCAGAGGCTTGGTGAATATTTTTAGTGTTTCGCCAGGAGAGGTCAGCACTCATTCAGTCGCTCATAGGAGCTGGGGACACACAAACACCCACACACAACATCTACACTGTCGATATTGGAGCGTTTTGTATCTGACTCTTGTGTGGATTCCTGAAGGCACAAGAAGAGGGTCTTAAGAGCTGTGAATCATGGATCCTCCCACCAGCTTCAGTTGTGGGGAAAGGGGCGATGGAGGCTAGCAAGCCAGTCACCGGGCTTTGTGTGAGCTGGGAAACGGAGCAGACGGTGTGGGGGACAAGGAAAAGCCTCTACCGCCCTAAGCAGAGGCCCATCTGGTGCTGCAGGATTCCCTCTGACCTGGTAGGGAATCCCTCCCACGTAGGCTGCTTTCTGAGGGAGTCCTGGCTCCAGAGAGGATCAGGTGGGGCCACGATCATCTCCTGCCCAGCTACCTCTTCTTCTGCAGGGGTGGCCGTTGGCACCCTCCTGCTGGCTCTTCCGGGGGCGGCTCTTTCCTTTCCTCCCGTGGAGTTCTCTTTATCCCTTTTGGTTGCCTTGTCTTTTCCCCCCTTCCACACCCAATCCCCTGGGGCCAAGGGTTCAAGGCTAATCTCGGTGTCTTAGAATCACCACCTGACCTTCCTCGGGGCCGCGTTCCGGTTCAGGTGGGCAACGGAAACGTGACAGCTCTCCCACGCTTTCTGGTTCCAGTCCTTGTTACCCTTTGTGGTGGTTGCCACCGGCAGCCTTGCGGAAACAAAAGCAGAACGGCAAAGCAGGGGCCGCCGTGGGTGACGGGAGGGATTGTGATCCTGCTACTCCAGAAAGAGCTAAGCCCCCCCCCCATACTCTTGTAGTGGTGCCGGCTTTCCCTTCCTTTTTCTGAGCTGCGTTTTAAGCCACAAATTTAGGGAAGCCCCCCCACTCCCCAGGGAACATACTGTCACTTCGGAAAGATTAGGACCAGTACTTAAAACTCTTCCATATCCCTCAGTCAAGGTGATTAGTGCGCTAAGGAGAGAGATTTCTCCTCCATCATCCCTTCAGGGTTAGCCTGTGGAGGAGCAGGAGAATCTAACCCTCTGCTGATTGTGAGAACTTGGAGAAGCAAGTAGTGGTATTTTTAGTTAAATCTTATCAGGTGCGTAGTTGGAAAAGGCATAGTGGTGGGTTCTCATTCCAATTAATTCTACTAGAGTGTGTATCATGCTATTGGGCCGTATGCAAGCTAAATAAAAAAATAAAATAGAAGAGTTTCAATCTGGTCATTTACTATTCCTAGATGTTTAAGACTTACACGAGACTCTTATTATAAGAGGCTGAGATTCTGTTTTCCTTGATTGTCAAAAGGCCATAACGGGTTGCGTTATTCTAAGAGCTCCAGATAGTTAACGGTTTGTTAGTAAATAATGCGTTTTTCTTTTGTCCAGCTCCCAAAGCCCAATCCAAATACTGTAAACATTGTAATCTCTCACTCAGAAGAAGCACAGACGGGGGGGCTTGAGCAGTTCTCCTTATATTCTTTTTTCTTTCCTCTCTTCCTTTCTGATCTTTTAAGATCCACTCGATCAAGCCTTAGTAGGGAAGGATACCTGGTTCCTGGAACAGACCAAAAAACAGCCAGTAAAGGTGAGTTGAAGGGTCTGTGGGTGAACAGGAGGGAAGCGGGAGGAGAGCTGCTTCTGTTGGTGGTGGAAACTGGTTTAGTCTTCACTGTCTTTCGTTTCTGTTTGCAGCGTCCAGAGAGGCTGAAGAAGACGCCATCCCAGCTGCCAGCCGTGGAAGTCATCTCGCCAGGAGGGTCTTACAACCCTAGTTTCCAATCCCACCAGGTATTTGTGAGGTTTGTTGCAGTAGACAGGGCTATACTTCCCCACCCCACCCCCCAGTGTGAATATAGTTGTATTTTTGGATGTGCTTTCAATTTATTACGAAAAGAACCAACAGAGGTGATTATATTGACTTCTCTCAAGTATCCAGAAGGATGTCTTGCCTTGAAATTCTTATGCAGTCTCTGGCAAGCTTTCCTTTGGACTTTGCAAAGAGAAGGGGGAATTCTTCGGTAAATCTGACTTTTTTTTTAGAGCCCTGGAAAAGTTGTATAAAGGAGAGGGGGGTGTTCAGTAAGCCAGTTTTTACCATTCCTCACACCCTCTCTTTCTCCCCCCTCTTCCCAATCTTTGTGCAGTCACTGCTTCTCCAAGCCCATGAAATTGAGCTGAAGCGACAGAAGATGGAGGAGAAATTGGACCGCCAGCTGAAATTTCCCACCGTAGATGAAGCCCCCACTCAGGTGAGCGCTTTGCCCACAAAGGGGAGAAAGGGAACAGGGATAGAGAGGGCCAAGAAGCTGCCCGGAGCCCAGGAAGAGAAGACAACAAGGACCTTTCCATTGAAGGTTGCACCCGCGTCCCACAAATAAGTGAGAGGCTATAGGAAGGAGGAGGGGTCTGGGAAAAAAATAGTCTTTCTCTTAAAAAACAACAACAATACATCTGCTCTTAACGGTGTCTTACACGGAAAGGCAGTGAGAGTTCTGTTTTAACACTTTTGGGGTAGGATTGGTTGACCGATCCATTGCCTCCTTCAACCTGGTCACTTCCAGGTGCCTTGGGCAGCCGCTCCCTCTCTCACAAGGGCCAGGCTGTCGGGGCCAGGTGGGAGTTCTCAGCCCGAACATCTCAAATGGCAACAGGCTGAGGAAAGCTAAGCCAGCCTGTTTGCAGAGCCTTCCGGAGAGTCCACGCTGAAGCCCTGCGGTTCAGCCAGCCTTTCCGTGCTCACCGTAACCACTTTCCTGCGCTCGCCTTAGAGGAATGTCAATAAATTCCTAGGGATGTGTATTGACTCAGCCATCAGAGTCGATTACCGTGGTTTCTTTGGGTCCATCGTGTTCAAATGAGAATTGTAGAGTGTCTGCCCTAGCCACTCCTCCCCTTTCACCCCAGGAGTAACGCTGATACATTTCTAAGGAACGCAGCTAAGCAACCCATAGAGTTAGGTGAACATGCGTATAATTCTTATAAACGTCTCTCATTCCTTCCGAGCGTCTGTCCTAGAAAGTGGTGAGGTGTGACATCTCAGCCTGCGAGATCAACCTGTGGCCTGTCATGGCGGGTAGGGGAAGAGGGAGGGGTTCAACACCTTCGCTGTTCCCCAAAAAGTTCCTCTTTGGGTCGATGAAAACCAGGAAGAGTGAGACATGCCTTGCCTTTTTTCCATTCGCAAACGAGCCACTCCTGGCGCGCTCCTCTCCCAGAGGCTTGACCAGGGGAGGTGGTATATTTAGCCTACTAAGAGGCCTGAGCACTTCCAGGCTGTATCGGTTTAAGGGGATGTGCTGGTCGGTGCGAAGTGATCAGTAATCCTTCCCAGAGGTGCCAAGGCCTGGCATGTGGGGTAGCAGCAGCTTCCCACCTGCAGGGGAAGTCCACATCCTGCCTAGCATCTCAGCCCAGAGCCTCACAAGGTTAAGGTTGATCCATTGGAAGATGTGGTACGTCTCGGCCCGCCAGCATCCAAAAGGCAGCTCTGTGCTCTAGGGACAAGGCGGTAGAGGTAATTTGGGTGGCGTTGTGCCCCCCCTCCTGCCCAGAGTGGTGTGGCTTTGGAGTTGAGGGCACTTTGCCCTTTTCTGGTGCCATGCGGTGGCAGGATCTCCATTCAGTGGCTGCCAGCGGGGTTTGGCCTGGTGTTGCTGCAAAACGGCCTTGTGCAAACCTCATCTAGTTCCCACTTGCCCCTTAGGAGAAGCTTGGCATGCTGACCAGAGGGCACTGGGTGGAATAAAAAAGTGGGAAGGAGCCCTTGCTTGTACCTGGGCACACTCTGCAGATTTAAAATGGCCTTCTCTGCCGTGGAGGCGTTCCAGGTTGTTTGGACTGTCACGCTCATCATCCCCAGCCTGGAGGGTCACCACCTGAAGAGAATGTGGCCTTGATGAGGCCAGCCTGTATATTTTCCCCTTTTTTCCTACCTTTGTTCCCCCCCCCCCCAATTTGCAGGAGACTGTGTTCCAGGAGCAGTGTGAGGGGCTCTTGGAGGAGGAAGAGGAGGCTGATGGGGAGCAGCAGCAGCAACAGCAGGAAAGCCTGTCGAAGCCCCAGGAAAGAGAAGAGCAGGCAGGCGCTGCCTCTCCCCCTCACGGTTCCCAGGCGGCGGCAGCAACAGCAGAAAAGAAGACAGAGCGGCAGAGGAAGAAGGAGAAGGAGGCCAAACGGCTGGTGAGTTTTCCCCTCCGGTGGAGAGGATCTTGGCTGGACCTCCGTCTAGCACATACCTGTCGGTCTCGGAAGTGTCTCCCTGTTTCATCTGACTGGGTGTCTCAATAAAAGCCCCCTCCCCTCCAGGCCCCCTCATCTTTCTGGGACTTCTGCCCTTACCTAGGGTTTTGTGGTGCAGAGACAGTTTTTTTTTGGGGGGGGAAGTGGTCTCTGCTCCACGCAGAATTCTCCCCTGCAGTGTTTTCACGGGGTGCCGTTTTCATCGACGGTGATTCGGGTGTCGAAGAACGGCGGAGGCCTCCATCTCCTTCCCAGCAGCGTGGGGTGACCCGGACATGTTCGGTGGAAGTGAAAGAGAGTGTGGCCCTGGTTCCAAGCGGGAATGCCTTGGTTTTCCTGCAAGTGTCGAAATAACAGCACAGGTTTAATGCTTCAGACTGCTCGGAGAGCCAAGGGGGAAAAATACCGTGTGTATGTGGATCCTCACCCAGGCTGGTGTCTTGCCTCCGTTGTGGATGCAGGAGGCCAAAGCTAGGAGAAACCCGGAATTTGGCAAGAGCCATGATCTGATCTTTGAGCAGAGGCGAGGTTTCTGCGTTAGACTGCTTGGCTTCTGGAACTCTTAGCCACTTGACTGTGTTGGTTTCTGTAACTCGGCGCCTAGAGCCTCTTCCATGTGTGGCGATAGCGCCAGCCTCTGCCCCATGACTTTGGTCTGGAGATGAAGATGGCTGAACAGCCGTCCCCGCAGAGATTCATGGCAGAAGGAGTTGTGACTCGTTTTCCCACAGCTAACTAAACGAGATCTGGGCCTGCCCGCGAGCCTATGGGAGGGCGAAAGGCCTTAGGAATGAGCACAGGGTTCGTTTTCTCAAGAAGGGAAAAATTAAAGTTTCTAGAAAATCAGTTTTTCTGATGAAATTCTTGAATTTTAAAATTTTGTAGGCTTTGTTTAAGGCCGCTCTCTTAGGCCACTGCCAACAATCTTTGGAAAGGACAAGGTTGTGATATAAATTAAAAATGGTGTCAGAATTTCTTGAGAAAATTACAGGAGCTTGAGCAGAGAGCAGTTTAAGCAGGTTTCCTTGTGCCTCAAGGCATGGCTTAGTTGTCTTTGGGAGCAGCTTCTCCTACCCCTTCGCTTGCAGAACCAGAATAAAATGCAAACAAAAAATAATATGCAGTCTGTTGTGCTGGGTTTGTGAGACTGAACTCCTCCTTGGTGTAAAATTTGGATTCTCTTGGCACAGAGCAACAGCTGTGTCAGCATGCAGAGGCTCGCCTCTGCGTGCATACGTCATCCCATAGCCTTGTTTTCTTTCGTGTGTGTGTGTGTGTGCGCGCATACATAGGCCTCTGTCTGTGGTGCTCCCGTGTTGATACCTAAGCCCCTGCCATGGCCCGGCTCTCGCTGATCTGCCCTTGAGAAGACACTGGGATTGGGGCTGATTTCTGGGCGGCCTGCCAAGGCAAGTTTGATTATCCTCCACCGGGGCTGCTGCGGTTCGTGAACAACGCACGGCCATCTGGCCGAGCCTCTCCACTGCCATCTGCTCTCGGCATGGGCGATGCGGACGCAAGGAGAGCGCCAGCCGACAGACTCCCCTATCTGGAGAGAGAGAGAGAGAAAGAAAGGCCCAGTTATTTCATCCTGGCAAAGGCAAAGGGGGCGGTCCTCAACGGAAGAGGGTGCCGGGATTTGAACGGAGAGAAGGGACGAGACCCGCTCTGCCACCCCGTCTTCCTCTTTGCACACAGAGAGCCCGGGAACAGAGCGAGAAGGCGGCACGGCTGCGGCGGCAGGAGCTTTTCCAGCTGCGGTCGCTCCGACTGCAGGTGAAGCAGCGGGAGGCGGAACTGCAGCGCCGGAAAGAGGCCCGGGAGGCCAAGCGATTGGCCGAAGCCGACAAGCCCAAGCGACTCGGCCGACTGAAGTAAGAGGGTCGTTGGGGGTCGAGCTGGGTAGGCTCGGAGGCGGGAGCCTTGCCGAGACGCCTCCGCCGAGAGGCAACCCAGAGCCCCAGGCCCTTGGGGACGGGAGAGAGCACCGGCGTCCTGTCGGGTATCTTCGGTCTCTAAACCGGTGCTTCTGTTCTTCCTTTGCACGGCAGGTATGAGGATCCTGACCTGGACGTGCAGCTGAGCTCCGAACTGGCCGAGTCCTTGAGGACGCTGAAGGTGAGTGGGTGCTCGCCTCCCACGGCCTGCGATTGGCAAAACAGATGTCTGGTGCAGATGAGGGCTGTCCCGAAGGTGGTCTCCCCTGTTGCTTTTGGTCATCCTCTCGAGCCTCCTGCAGCCCAGCTTCCTCTGTCCTTTCTCTGTGGCCCCCTTGGTGTGTTCCCGAGTCAGTCTCTGCTCTGGAGCCAGCCTTCCTGAAAGGCCAGCTTGGATCAGGCACCCACTGCTTGTCTGAGAGGTCCAGCAGCCTAGCCTGCTTGTCATTTTAGGCGGAGAGAGGCATGGGGCCTGTGGGGGGTGGGGTGCGGTGGTCATGTGATATCCCCAGTGGGAGGACCACCAGCTCGGGGTGGGAGTGGGCATGGGAGAGGATCTGTTTTTCTTGAGCCTTCCTGACTTTGGTGTCCAATGATGAGACCCATCCTTGCGCTCGGAGGATTTGCAGCAGTCTTTGCTGGGAATGTGAAGGTCACCAGGGGCTCCCTGGGCCGGCCGAGCAGGCGAGGACCGGGGAGCTGAGGCACCCAGCCCTTTCCTCTCCCCCTTTTCTGGCACAAATGCCCCCCTCCCCACGTCCAGGAGTGCCTAGGGCCTTGGACGGCACCCAAAACTGGCTGTGGGGGGGGGACCTTAGTTACCTGTCTTCCAAACCTCCATGTTCTCTGGGTTTGCATCCTGCGGTCTCGTAGCCCACCCCTGCCGCCAGCTTGTCTTCAGGTGGACCCTCATTCTGCTCCTGGGGACCCAAACTCAAACCTCATTCCTTCTCTCAATCACTGCTTTGGTTTCATTCTCTTCATCTCGGGTTTCATCGTTGCTTCTGGCAGCTGTCTTAACATTAAGGAATGTGCGCGGTAGCATAAGTTATCCTTACCCCAGGAAGTCTTTCAGCAGCAGCAACATCCCTTCGGTCAAAAGCCTGCAGGCCATTTCCTTTGGAATTCACACCACAGGGAGAGTTGCAAGCTGAGCCTGGTGGAGATAACGGCCTTATTGTTGATTTTCAAAACCTGTTACTCTGCCGGTAGTGCCTGCAGGGTTTTTGTTTTTGGCTGACCTCTGGCTTCAGTAGTCCAGAGAGAGATTGTGTCAGTTCCAAAGCTAACCATCTCAGTAGCCACCTATTGCTCTTTTGTGTAGCAGAGAATCCTACAAGTGATTATGTGAAGGCGAAACACTTCCTTTCATCTCTCTGTTCTTCCTTCTGATTTTTCTTTGGGAGACCATGCTTGTAGAAGTTCCTGGCAGGGAAGTTGTCTTAATCTGTCGAAGCAGAACAAACAAACAAACCCAAAGACCCTCATGGCACCCAAAAGATGAAAACAAACAAACAAACAAACAAACGCAAAGACCCTTGTGGCACCCAAAAGATGAGTAGGTATTATTTGGCAGAAGCTAAAGCTTTGGCCAGGTACAGTTTGTTAGCCTGTAAGGTGCCACAAACTCCTTTTGGAAGGAGGTTCGCATCTTTTGTACCTACCACCAAGGCCGTCTGCTTCTTTCCCACCCCAAAGTGGGAGCAGAAGGGGAGCGTGACTAGATTGTTCTGTCCCGTGGTGTCTTTTCAACGGTCCTACAGCTGGGAACTTAAGTTGAAGTGGTGCATCGCCAGCCTGTGAGCTCTCCAGGCCCCAGAGATGGGCCTTTCCCGGAGATGGGCCTTTCCCGAAGCAGCCAACCTCCCATCCTGTTGCTCCCTCCCTCCCTAGGCTTCCTGACACCTCGGCTCCACAGCTCATGAAAATCACTCCCAGCCCAGGAGAGCAGGCGGGGAGGAGGCAACGGATGTGCTGGAGGAGCTGATGTTGTGTGAAAAGTTGCGCTCCCAGCACCCTGCAGAGTTTGTGCTGGAGGTGTGAGTACAGAGGAGGGAGGGAGGCTGAGCTGTTCCGCTCCCCCCCCCAACCCTTTCGCTGCAGAGGAGCAGGAGTGAGCATTGGCTCCCTAAGGAGAGAAAATGTAGCCGGATGTTCCGTGGAAAATGATTTAGGTTTTCGGTAGCCAATTTTACCATTTTTCATAGGTTGTTGTCGAGAAGCTTGGACGTTTCATTGATGCCTGTCTCCAAGACCTAGGATGATATTGTTGTCATGTGAGGGGAAGATAAAGGAGAAATGCCCTATGATGAAGTGGCCCATGATAAACTTGCCCTGCTCTTTCTGCATTGCAGAAAGACGATCTGGAATCTTCCTTCCACTCCCAGAATGGTTTTGTCATTCTTCTCGGGGCTGGGGGCGCTCCCTTCCCACTCCACAGGTCACCCCATGAAACAGGGACCCTGGTTCCACCCCCCCCCGGGTACTGTGTTTATGAAGGGTGAGGAGGTGGTGGAGCGGCTCTGTGACTACTTGCACAGCTGCCCCCCGGGTACTGTGTTTAGGAAGGGTGAGGAGGTGGTGGAGGGGGTCTGTGACTACTTGCACAGCTCCATATCCCTGAGGGTGGATCCAGACCAGTGTGATGGGATGATAGGGAGAACTGCTTAAATTATTCCTTCCTAGAAGCCGTGGGTTCTGCCCAGCGTGTTTCCCTCGCTGCTTGCCTGCGGGGTTGCATTTTGTTAGATAGGAAGCCCTATAAGTAACTGAGTGTCCCTCGTTGGTCTGTGGGCAGAGCCTAAGCCCGGAAGGTTTCAGGGTCCTTGCGAAAGACGGCAGCGGGAATGCTCTGCGCCCGTGGCAAAGAGTGGTGGGGACACACACACCCCAGGCACCAGCAAGGCCCAAGAAAAGAAATGGGTGCTTGCGTGGGAAGCTTTGGCAGGAATAAATCCCTTGCACTTAATACGCGGACACACAAACACACACCCTTTTTCACGTGGTGCTTTTGTTCCTTCCTCCCCAGCCTGAAGGCAGCATCTTGCGAGACCGCTTCAAGAGCTTACAGAAGCGTAACCTGATAGAGCCAAGAGAACGCGCCAAGTGAGTGAGAGGGCCGTGCGCCCCTTTGCACAACCGCCGGTTGCTGGGACACCATCTTTTCCTCTTCTGTCAATGGCTGGGGTGGCGGTGGGTGGGAGTTCCTGCCGAAAGCCCGCTGCTTCTCTTTCTGAATGAGGCCCGGATCAGAAGGAAACGAGCCAGAGGGGTGACCCAGGCGGAGAGAAAAGCAGAGGCCCTCTTCCAGGATTGCACGAAGGGACTGACCGCCAGGCTAGAAGTGCTTGGGTGGCACCCTCTGGTCCCAAATCCGTTCTTGTTGCCCTCGAGACCCAACAGGGAAGGGAGTATAGTTCCCTCCATGAGTGACTTTTGAGTCTCCAGGGATGGATGCTCATAGAACAGGCCCTCCTGGGAATGCTAATTTCCCCTTTCCCATTTTCTGATATATTTGTGCAAAAATGAGGCGATGGGAATGTGGACAGGTTTCGTGACGAGGAATGAATTTGGATGATCGCAACAAGGATTGGCGTCATCTCTTGTAAGAGGCAGGAAAGCTGAATGCAAAGCAAGGTTTTGGAACCTTTTAAAGCTTGAGAGTCAAATTCGGCTTCAGAGGGGCTCACGAGGCCACGTCAAAGGCGAAAGGGTTGGGGCCCAAGGGCCAGCCTGTCTGAGCCCTCAATTCTGACTCCCTTAGTAGACACGTTTCAACCCATTGAGGTTGAGATAGGAAGAGAGAGAGAGAGAGAGATTGATGCACACGCAAGGATTTCTGTGTTTGAACAGGCCAAATCAGAGAACCTTCTAATATTTTCACAGAAACTGAAAATTCTGTGCAGCTCTTGGGTGATGAAATTAAATCACAAGTTTAAGGGTTGAGTCTCTAAGAAATCATACGAGTGAAAAGCTTGCCTTTCTCATGAAGGCTCTTTAGATCCTGAACCTCAAGGGACCTGATGAGAGCAAAACCTTGGCGCGAAGGTGATCTCTTGGCCTCAGAGTCACACGCTCTTGCTGGCCCTCGTGGGCTGTTGGCAAATATTCGTGCTTAAAGACACTTCTGTTTCTTTTAATCGATTCTTCCACAGGATGTAAACCAGAGGTAGGCATCTTTTAAAGATTCTGTGCTCTTCTTTTCAGATTCAAGAGGAAATACCGTCTGAAATACGTTGAAAAACGTGCTTTCCGGGAGATTACGTAAGTCGCCATCATGAGAGAGGAGTTGCTGAGCATTGGCTGAATAGAACTGTTTAAACCACTTTGGGTTTTGACTCCCTGCCTCAGTTCATCATTGTTGTTCTCTCTCTCTCTCTCCTCTCTCCTGTCCCTTCCTCTTTTCTCTTCCTGCAGGTTATAGAGCATCCCAAGAACTCATCCTGTCCCCTCATGTTTCATTAAAGCACCATTGATAACCCCAAGATCTGCACCTTTGTTCCTGGTTTTTGTTTGTTTTTGTTCTGTTTCGTTTTCTACTTTTTCCCCACCAGTTGGTCTTGAGAATCTGCACACAATCAAGGAAGTTGCCCCACTTCTTAATTCGGAGAGGTGAAACCCCTTCCGTAGCTCACTTCAACCCACAGCCGGCCCTTCTACTCTAAGTCTGTGTTCACTTGAGTCTACGCCGAGTAATTCCAAAATCTCTGTGAGTGTTGTGGCTTTGAAGCCAACTCAGGTCACCCAAAGGATGCCACCTTCTGAGATCTTCGATCTGTCTGTCGGACAGGATGTTGTACAAAACACAGGGGGAGCGGGAGGTTGACTTGATGTGAAAGTCGTGCAGAATGGGAGAAAGGGGGAAGCCCCTGCAGGTGGTCAAATTAGCAGGTAGCAGGCGATGGCTTCAGGTGACAGCTGGGGTCGCCTCTAAGACTGCAAAATTTGGATCCTTCCATTCCCTTCTGTGTTACTCCTGAAGATGACTTTGCATCACCCAACTTTGGTTTAGGCCAAGCAATGAACCAAGGAGAGGTTTTACGCTTGTGGATTTGCGAGGGTGTGCGCGCAGGCCCATTATGTCTCCAGGAAGGGAGTTCAAGGGTGGGCAAAGGGTGTCATTGAGGTAGCAGGAGTTTTTTCTCCAACTCCAGCTCTGTTGAACCAAGAAAAATAGGGGCCCAGTTCCCACATTTAAAGTGGCCACAGCTCCCCTGCTCAGTGTAACGCTCCCCACTACCTGTTTTTAAAATAAAACCGTAAGAAGACATCTAGATTTTTGACCGTCTGTGCAACTGCCTGTATGTCTCAAGGGAAAGAAGCGATTCCTTGAACTTCTCCATGCAACTACTAGAAGCTCGGGAGGGGCCTATAAATGTCCATCGCTGTAACACAAAGTCCTCCAGATTCAGAACTGGATGCTGAGAAGGGACGGGCCACTCCCATCCTTTTGTCTTAAATTCTGTCTCTTTTAGATCAGACCTTCGCTTTCTCGAGAGGGCTGGTCCGAGCGTTAAAATCCCACAGAGCTTTTATAGCAGAGCCAGGCTGGGAGCAGAAGCCTCTATGCTTGACGGTCCGTAATGTGTAGGTGTTTTGGGAGCCCGGTCAACGAGAGTGATGGCCTTCTTGCGCTTGGCCCTGGCCTGATTTCAGTGTCCGACGCTGGATTAAGATAGACCCGCCGTATAACCCAGGCGAGGCAGTTTTAAGCCTCCAGAGGTTGATTGTGGGTGAATTTGTCATTACCAAGAAGGCAGATGCCATTCTGCTTGTACCCAAATCGTCACCCCCCAATGCTTTCTCCGGCTCGTTTCCATCACTATACTAGCGTGAGACTTGGGAGTTTTATCTTGACAGTAAACCCTAAATCCTCCCCCTGCTGGGTTTTGTCCTGCTGGTGGTTCCTTCCTCGTCTTTTCCTTCCTCCAGCATCCTTTCAAGTATTAAAATTCAGCTGGGAACATCCCCTCCTGCCTAGAGAGGGGGAAAAGAGCTTACAACACCCCCACTTCCTGTGCCTGCAAGCTCCTGGATTTGTCTTCTGAATCCTTGGCTCATCCCGGTGGCGCTTCTCGCCCTCCGTTCCCCTCCAGCCGCCTGCTCAAGTTGTCAACATCCATTAAGGAGCTCCCATCTCAGGTGTCTCCGCTCCCCCACTTTGCGACAGGCTGTGACCGCTCGGTCGCGGGGGGGGGGGCGAGTCTTCCACGACGTTGCGGGTCTATTGTGTGTTTTCCCCCCTCGAGGCCCTTTGAGGCATAGATGCATTTTGGTAGCAAAAATATGGGTCACCCGTGGGCTTTTTGTGGGGAAAGCAGCTGGTTCTCCATCTCCTTGCCAGCTGCCAGACAAGGTGGCTTTAGGTGGGCCTTTGCCTTTCGTGCCTCGCTGCCACCTTGGGGGGTGGGGGTGGGGGCTTTACTTGTGATGAGCGAAACGGCACCACTGGGATGTCACACGCCCGGCTGAACAACAGCTGTCTCCTTCCCCCTCTGCCCGCTCCCTGCAAAAAGTCTTGTTTCGCCGTCCTTGGATGTTGCCTCGCCAATCACAGCTTCGAAATCCTCCCTGGAAAAAGTTGGGAGCCGTTCTGTTTTAAAAAGGTCACGGCCCAGTTTACATCTGTGTTCCCGGCGCACCTGTGACCTCTTTTGATGCTAAGGAAATGGGCCACCTGAGCCTCACCTGTGACCTACTGCCCTGGAATCATCATCCTTCCTGCCATCTCCCTGCTATTCCTCTGGGCCACCAGGTGCCTGTTTTGCTGAGCTGGTGCACAACCACCGCCACCACCCTCGGCAGCACAAAGCAGTTTTTGCACACCCACGTAGGCGCCTGTTTTTGCCCTGTGACGCAGATGTTTCTTGTGAATTGAAACGGGGCTCCCTCTTTGCTCCAAGGTGGTGCCACGTGATCGGATCCTGTCATACCTCATGCAAAGGCTCTTCTGCCCTGAGGCTGGGGAGAAAGGAGAGATGGCTAGAAGCAGACCTATTTGAGCGATGTCACGGGCAGCATCCGGTTTGTTGATAACGTCTGCCTCTCGGCTACCTTTGCTTCGTTTTCCATACTGTCTTGGGAGTTCCTGTTAGGGAATTTGGTAGCATCATCATCTTCCTTCTCATCTCAGAACTGGAAAGGCTAGATGCCAGCCAATCGGTAGGCATGGAGATTCTTCCCTTAGCACTATCGCAAAGGGAGAAACAGAATTGGATCAGTTCTTCTTTGTATTATATCCCTATTCCTTTTTTTTCCTCCGTAAAAGGAGGAAGAGCCTTGGAGGCAGGGATCCAGTGTGACCAAGGTGATCCAGCAACTCTATTAAAGGGATCTGTTTTACCATGCACTTGATCACGAAACAGGCAAAGGGGGGCTGCTCTTGGAACATCTCGCCTCAAAAACACCAGTATAGGATCCCTGTAAGTTGGAACCAACTTGTTGACCGATAACTGCAACGTCTCTTTGAGGGACTGGCGCGGGAGCTGTACGAACCATTCCAGTTTTCTGGTGGTTTGAATTGGGGAGGAGATTTTTTTTACATGGGGCCCAGCGCTTCTCATGGGCATCCGCTGACCAAAAAAGATGTTTAGCCCTGCCTTTGGGGCTGGTGCAGAGTGTTTGCATTGCCAGGCTTAACCCATAGCCCTTCCCTCACACAGCTGGGAACGAACGGTGGGTAGGATTTTAAGTCAGGGCTGTGAAATCGGAAAGATCTTTCTAACGAGGAACCCAGCATTGGCTGGGGAGGGTGTAGTTGGATGGAAGATGAGACCATGTCCCCCCCCCACACACACACTCTACATGTCTCTCAAACAAATAGCAAGCTTTCCTCTCCTCTCCCATTAGCCGAGTATGATGAAGAGAGAAAATGCTGGAGGTGTTAAAGAAAAAAAAGGGCACAGAGGCACAGTGCACACCTTTAGACCCTCTTTTTTTTTCCTTCCCAGCTGCCTCCTTCAAGCAAAGACTGGTCCCCCCACCTCAGCCTCCCGAGATGGTGCTGCTAACTCAGGTCTCAGTGGCACATAGCAGCTTCCATGCATAATTCACACTAGTTAATGCAGTTCTGCCGCCATGTGCCTGCTTTCTTCCCACCCTCCCTTCCCTGCATCTGGGAGTAAAAATAGCAACAGATCCCCAGCCAAGAATAGCGCCAAACTTCATTTAGCTCTGCCCCGGGAATAAGAGATGGAGGGAGAGCATGACAGGTGCCCCCTGCCCATTCCAGGGCCACCTGGAAAGATAGTTGCACATGGGAAACATTGGGTGCCCACAGCTACAGTATGTATCGTTCTACTTCTCATGGGTTTGTGTGCGGATGGAGGGGGACCATTGCAAGTTGGTCTCAACAGCACCAGACCTCTGGGCAATGAAATGCCTCTTATCCTTGCACACAGAAAGCTGGCGTATTAGCGGTAAAGCAGATTTAGAACTTGTTTCCTTGATGCGTTCATTCTCACTTTGCAGAGCAAGTGGGGGTGCTGATTCTGTCTACCCACCGATGCACATGTATGCATTGGAGGTACAGTGGCTCTGGCGTCCGCTCTGGCTTTTCATCCGAACGTTAAAGGCTAAAGGGGTAGGACTTGGTATGTCAGAAATCTGCTCTCAAGTTTAGACTTAAAACAAATCCGGCATCCTGCCAACACTGGAGCTTCTACTATGTGTAGGTCTTTCTCGCACACACACACACTCTCTGTCTTAAGCAGAAACTGCTTTTCAACGTGTGCAATCTGGAGCTTCTACTATGTGTAGGTCTTTCTTGCATGCACTCTGTCTAAGCAGAAGCTGCTCTTCGACGTGTGCAACCCAGACAGTTTAAACACCTGCCTTGGGCAGGTTCTGCCTTTGGGAAAGTGTTGGAAGATTGGTTCTCAGCTTTCATCCTTCCAGATGTTTTCTATTCAGCTCCCAGAATCCCTTACCTTTGACCTTCCCAGATGGAGCTTCTGGGAATTGGGAGTCTAAAACATCTGGAGAACCACAGGTTGAGACCCACTGGTGGAAGGAGAAGAAGACCCAGAGAATGTGGCTTACTTCTGGGTTTCAACGTTCGCTCACTGTGGCTGAGCGTGGAGGGACAAATAGGTAAGTATCAAGATCCCGTGTAAAGCTAATGGTAGCTTTGCACCACAGAAAGCTGGTGCCTGCTTGCGTGTTCATAACTGTGCCTCTGTGTGCGATCCCCTGGTAGAATATGGATAGGCAGTCGTTTAGCAGCAGCACCTCGTATTCCTGCAACAGGGATGAAGGAGAAGCCGGAAAGCTGAGCCTTTCTCAAGTTGTCGGCATCCTCACTGGCTGTGATCGTCTGTCTTAGCCATCTGCTCAGGCAGGAAACATTCATTGCTTGCTTTTATGGTGTGAAGGTTTCCTTGGCAAACAATTTGATGGCAACAAAGCTGGAAAGAACCTCAGGGGTCATCGGCTCTGACTCCCTGCTCGCAGAGGAAACCCCAGACAGCTAAAGCGTCCCTACCAGGTGCCCATCCAAACTGTGTTGAAAAATCTCTATAATCAAAGCGAGTCCACAGTCCAACGCAGCCCACTATCAAGCCACCATTCCCATCAGGAAATTCCTTCCGTCACAGTCTCCTTTCAGATTATTTGAACCTTTTGGTTTGAGTCAAGAGCAACAGGAAACAAGCCTGCTCCACTTTCTGTGTTTCCCATAACATGGCCCCTTCCACCTAGAATGTCATCTAGGGAGCTTCAGACCCACAAGGGCTGCTTTTCACCATTCCGTGTCTTTGTGTGGAAAGTGCTGCATTTGGGGCAGGGCCAAAGTCTAGGTAAGAAGGGTTGTGGGGTGTGTAAATGGCAACCCATCTGCAAACTTGGATCTTTCCCCTTTTATTGAATCTGGGAGCCCGAACCTCCTTCGATCTTTCCCCTTTTATTGAATCTGGGAGCTCGAACCTCCTTTGTTGTTTAGTCATTAAGTCGTATCCGACTCTTCGTGACCCCATGGGCCAGAGCACACTGGCCCCTCCGGTCTTCCACTGCCTCCCAGAGTTGGGTCAAATTCATGTTGGTCGCTTCGCTGACATTGTCCAACCATCTTGCCCTCTGTCGTCCCCTTCTCCTCTTGCCTTCATGCGTTCCCAACATCCGGGTCTTTTCCAGGTAGTCTTCTCTTCTCATGAGATGGCCAAAGTACTGGAGCCTCAGCTTCAGGATCTGGCCTTCCAGTGAGCACTCAGGGTTGATTTCCTTCAGAACCAATAGGTTTGTTCTCCTTGCAGTCCAGGGGACTCTCAAGAGTCTCCTCCAACACCAAAATTCAAAAGCATTAATTCTTTGGTGGTCAGCCTTCTTTATGGTCCAGCTCTCACTTCCATACATCACCACAGGAAAAACCATAGCTTTGACTATGCAGACCATTGTTGGCAAGGTGATGTCTCTGCTTTATAAAATGCTGTCTAGGTTTGTCATCGCTTTCCTCCCAAGAAGCAGGCATCTTTTAATTTCGTGGCTGCTGTCACCATCTGCAGTGAGCATGGAGCCTAAGAAATTAAAGTCTGTCACAGCTTCCATATCTTCCCCTTTTATTTGCCAGGAGGTGATGGGGCCAGTGGCCATGATCTTAGTTTTTTTTTTATTTTAAGCTTCAGACCATTTTTTTGCATCTCCTCTTTCACCCTCATTAAGAGCTTATTTAATTCCTCCTCACTTTCTGCCATCAGAGTGGTATCATCGGCACATCGGAGATTGTTGATATTTCTTCCGGCAATCTTAATTCCGGTTTGGGATTCCTCCATTCCAGCCTTTTGCATGATGTATTCTGCATATAAGTTAAATAAGCAGGGGGACAATATGCAGCCTTGTCGTACTCCTTTCCCAATTTTGGACCAATCAATGTTTCCGTATCCAGTTCTAACTGTTGCTTCCGGTCCCTCCTCCTTTACACCATCGCAAAGGGGTGGATGTCCCACCTTGGCACCTGCTTTGCCCCCCCCTCCCGCTCCACCCCAGGGTGTGGGTTGCTATTAATAGGGGTCATGCATATGAATAAGATCTCGCCTCATTGCCAGTGGAAAGAGCAGGCAAAGGGAAGCCGAGCTGCTGTTGGGAGGCGACTCTTTCTCCCTTCTCCTTCCTCAAGGCTCATGGCTTGGAACCCACCTTCCAGGTGGATGATGGGACCCACCAAACCCTCCTGTAAAAGTCTCTCTCCTGCATATCTCTCTGTGTGTGCATGCCCTCAAGTTAATTCTGACTAAGAGGGACCCTTGTCCAAGGTCTGTTTATTAGACGGAGACGGTGCCCTATGCAAGTTGGTTTCAAGCTCCCCTTCAGCGAACAGTTCGTAATTTACGGCCGATCTCTTAAAACAGAGGACAGCCGGGCCAATCTGACCGTCCTCTGGCCTCCACTTCATCAGCCTTGTGAATTTGGGACATAATTTGGGATATAAGTTTGGAACGACCCACCAGAATGTGATGCACAGCCTTGAAGAACGTGATTTATCATTGAAAACGTGCTGTTTTCTGGGTTTGTTTTATATCCTTAAGGGTTGGTTAAAAGTATCACCTGGTCCTGCGCTTGTCTTGTTTCCATAGCCTTCCCCCCCCCGATTTTTCCTGTTTTGTCCCTCCTACCTTTTTTTTGAAACAAACATTTTTTTTTTTTTTGGCTTAAGGTAGGTACCCGCGATGGCCTACCAGGCACAGAAGACCATGTGCCTAGAAAAGGGTGGCCCGTGGGACTTCCAAGGGCAAGGCCCAGCTGGGGAATATATGGCAGTCTGGATGACCTGAGCTATAATAACGGCCACAGTATCTTGCCCCGGTTTGTTCTGTGTGGCATTTCTGGGAGCGGAAGTCCAAAACATCTTAAGATGAGAGAAAGTGGGTGGAAGAGAAAAGGGGCCTTGTGGGCTGGGGCTCGGACGAGTTGCGCCCTTGGCGGCTGAGCCAGAAGGCTCGGCCCATCAAGTGGGGCTTGAAGGAAGATAGGAGGTGCCCCCTTGGTGCCGTTGGCCAGCATCATCCACAGCCTGGGGTGACCCATGTTGGGAGACCAACGGGTTCCTCCTTCCCGAAATTTAAAGGAAGAGCAGACCTCACCATTAACTCTACTGGGGCAGAGGACTGAAACGGACCAGGCTCGACGGGTATGGGCGAAGAGTGCTTGGATCGGGGGGGCCCTGAGAGGACACCCTCCTGTTCAGCCCCACGCCGCCCACCCTCCACCGTCCCTGCCCTCCGACATACTATAAGCGCCTTTGACTTTTCGTCCGAACTCTCTTGCTCAGCTGGTTGGGGGTCCAAAGGAGCTTAGAGAGGGTTAGGTTCTTACTGCACCACAGGGGGTCAGTAAAGGGGGGATGATGGTGGGGGTGGCTTGCAAGGGGGGTGGGTGGGCTGTGCAAGAGCCGCTTAGAGGATGGGGGACAGCAGGAGAGAGGGAGGAGGATTACAAAAGGAAGAGGGGGGCAGGTCCTCTTGTCTGGGGTGGGTTGCGGTGGCCTGGCGCTTATTCTCTCCCCTCTGGTTTTGGAAGAGTTTCAGAATTGCATCGCCCCCACCCCATGCCTGGAAAGGCTGCTTCCATCCGGCCTTCCTGGTTTGCCTCCCGATTCCTTTCACAGCAGCCACAGCAGAGATCTTGGCCCCTCCGGTCTCTCACAGGCAGGCCGAAAGCCAGATGGTGTCCAGTTAACCCCCTTTCTCCACGGCAGACCTATTAGAAGGCAGATTAAGGGATGAAAGGCCGCTGCAGCTGAGAGAAGGGGGGGGGTCGGGAGGGAGGGAGAGAGGGAGAAGGGGGCAAGGAGACCGGTCCTCACCTTGCCCTGTCTCTTAGGCCCAGGGAGTGAGGCGGCCGCTTCGCAAGAGGATGGAGCTGGGCAGGAGACCCCAAAAGGAGATTCTGGGACAGCAGGAAGGGTGCCCAAAAAGAGGGCGGATTTGTAGCAGGATCGGTGGAGCGTCCTGCGGCCAAGGGTGGCGCGCCGGTTCCTTCACAGGATCTGCTCCAGTGCCTTTGACAGCAGAAATTAAAATGGGTGGGATTCCCCCCCCCCGTCCTGTTAAAGATAGCACACTTGGCCCACAAGAAACGAAAAAGGCAAGGAACTCCATCCGATGGTTTGTTGTGGCCGTTCCGAGAGGTTCTTGTTCAAAGCAGGGGGGGGAAGAGAGGGTGCATTTTTGGAAAAACGGCAGTCCCATAAGTAAGGCATACTTGGAGGAGAAACCCCAAACTGGTTTTCATTCTCTGCGATATGTTCCTCTACCCTACACCCGTAAACCAGATTTCAACGGAGAAGCCACCCAAGAAATAAAGAAACCATTTCTCTTTTTTTTTTGTTTTTTTTAATTGCACACCTTAGTCCGTTGCGGTTTTGTTTAAAATCACATTTGCTCGCTAATTATTTCCATCACCATCGCTGAGAGCGTGCCAGCCATGCAACGCGGAATAAAGGGGCAGCCCCTTCTCTCGTTCCCCCTCTTGATGGGATGCTCTTTTTAAAAATTAAAAAAAATTAAAAAAGAAAAAACCCACAGGCATGCTCCTCCCCGCCCTCCCCCACTCAAAGCCACCCCGTCGTCGCTTCGGCATCATGCGTTCGCATCCCCTGGTCCGGCAGAAGGAGATATAGGCACAAGTTTCCGTGAAACAGCCCCCCCCCCAAAAAAAATGGTCTTGCTTGCACCATAGTAAGTAGGAGTGGTACTTGTAGCCATGGAGTGTGAGACCCGATCTGGGTGCAAGAAGACCAGGAGGACATCTTCTCTTATCTTTGCTGCCTTTTGGCCCCTGGAGAGCCTGGAGTTCTTGGATTCAGCCCTTAAAGTGGAGGTGAAGCTCCTCTGTCCTGAAATGGAGAGGAATTCTGGAAAGCACCGGCTGAGAATTGCATCGTTTGATCTGGGAGGTATTGTGGTCAGTTCTGGAAATGGTTCATTCAACACCCCGTGCTCTTCTCTTTCTGCATCGGTGGATGGGAGACTCTCCAAGCCCCCTTCCCCTCACCGATCGTGGGGCGTCAAACGTAGGCAGACTCGCTCGACTGCGTCCGTCCGAGCGTAGGCACTTGGGCCAGCGAGGAGAGGTCCTTCTTGCGCACCTCGCAGAGGGATTTCCGCCTGGCCTGCACCCCCCGGATGGCCGTCTTGATCTTGCGCCAACCCAAATGGTTGAGCTCAGCCAGGTTGAGGAGGACACAGATCCCGCTCACCGCAAACATGAAGACCAGGAAGACGGTCTTTTCAGTGGGTCGGGACACGTAGCACTCCACCTCTTTAACACATGGGTACCGGTCGCATTCAAAGATGGCGGGCACGTTGAACCCGTACAGGAAGTACTGTCCCGCCAGGAAGCCGATCTCCAAGGCGTTGCGGAAAACAACCTGCAGCAAGTAAGGAAAGAGAAGGTTAAGGGATGCTTGTCCCCGGTCTTGACTTCCCATGACCTTCAAAACTGGGGGAAATGACTTTTTGGGAACACAGAAGCCAAAATCCCCCAGCCAGCAAGGCCAGTGACTATGCGAACAGCAGCTTTCTGCATCTTGCAGTCCAAGAAAAGTAACTTTTCCAAAGTCTGTATTAGAGTAACTATGATTATATAAATAATCTGGATAAACCCCTTCCTTCTGAAGTTCTAGGAATTCAAACGGATACGTTCCCCCTAAAGGGGAGGAGTTTGAATCACTTGAGTGGCCATTTTTACCAAAGCAATGAAGATCTAAAAACTGTTTATTGGACTATCCGCTCAGAAAGTGGAGGAGTTTCCCCTGGAAATGAGGTATGAGGAACCTTACATCCTTTCTATGAAAATAGTCAGTATAAATGTGGATTAATTTCATTTAGAAACAATAGCGTGCCTTTTAAAAATTATTGTTATAAGGAGTGTTGAGTTGTGTTGAACAGCATCTGTCTGACACGTGATACTGATCTGCCGTGTTATGCTGCTTTATACCCTTCCCCCACCCCCATGTTAGGGTTAGCCTTTTGCTCTTAAGAAATCCAGCATTTTAGGGCCTGTTTGCCTGTCATCTTGCTATGTTCTGTGTGTGTGTGGGGGGGGGAATTGAGGGGGTTGTTTGCCATGCTTGTGTGTGTGTGTGTGGGGGGGGAATTGAGGGGTTTGTTTGCCATGCCCTGAACTTTCAGATAGTTCCATGAACTGATAGTTCCATCTGGCTGTTGACGAGAAATTCGTACCGAGCCAGCTTAGTAGAGGAGACGTTCTCTAAATGGATGGGGTATAAATTTAATAAATAAATTTTTAAAAAAATAGAGTTCATTTCCACGAGGACCTCCCAAGAGAGCTCAAGGCGACAGTGTGAAAGCACCCGGGAGCTGTCCTTGGTCCTGATGGCTCTACCGCTCGATTTCAGGTGAAACTGAACACCAGGCTATGCCAGGGTCTCTCCTTCCCAACCTTGTTCTTGGCCACCCGCCTCCTTCAAATTATGGCCTGCCATTCAGAGGAAGCTTATGCACCCGCAGCGCAGGGCAGAAAAGGACCCTGTTTGAATCTAGACATCCTGGCAAAAAAAAGGGGGGGGACTGGGGCCCTGAGCTTTGAGTGCTGTTCTGATTTAGTCTGGGGGCCCAGACACCATTGTGTGCGTGGCTGCTGCTTCTCACCCTGAAAGTTTAGAAATAAATAGTTGGTCGCTGAGATGCCCCCAAGCCCCTGGCGCGCTTGCTCTAGCCAAGGCTGCTGGGAAAAGAGAGATCAGGATGACACACGGGAAGGGGCTGCACGTTCTCTGTGGCTTGGCTTGTTTTTAAATCAACAGTCCTGTTCTTTGGGGGGGGGGGAACCATGCTGGGCAGATTCTGCAACCCGAGAGAATTATACCAGTGAAGGAAATACACTGTCTAGCGCTGCCGATTTCTCCCAAGTTAAGGTGTCTCTGGGCCTGCGCCTTCTTGATGACAGGAAGCCCCAGTCAACTCCCTTTCCAAAGTTTGAACCAGTTTTGAACCCCATGCCTTCAAACGCATAAAGGCCAAGACTTGTGTATTTTAGAACCAGGAGTAGCAGGGTTGGGCCTTCCTGGTGGAGCCAAAAAAAATAATAATCAGAATTTCTCAGTCCTCCATGCAGTTGCAGGCAAGATGGGAGTGTGTGTGTGTGTATATATGTCACAAATTTGGGTCAAAACAGTGGGAGTCAGTAGAGCCATACAAAACGGGAGTGACAAACTTGTTTGTGGTGCATTTAATGTGACAGCAGAGTTTCTCACGCTGCTGGGTTCTGCGCGGGTGACTCTGGTTCTATACTCGGTCTGCTCAAATCCCCCCCGCCCAGCTGTCTCTCTGGTCCACACAGCCTTCAAATCCCTCGGGAACACCTGTTTCTACAGTAGCTGTTTATGGCTTTAAGGTCTAAATGGATGAAGTTGTAGGTCCACCTTCTAGGAGAGCAGTAGTCCAATACAGGAGGAGAAGGAGCATCTGGTTGTGGAGAACCACTGCCATGAATGTCAAATTTAGACTCTTACAGAGAGGACGTCAATAGAAGATGAAAGTATCTTCATGTTTTAGGGAGCTGTAGGCATCTCTGTGTCTCAGGTCTGAACTATAAGGAGACCAATGAAACCCATGTGTACCTTTTGCTGTTCAATCACAGAACAGAAGCAAGTGAATTTTCAAAGCACAGGAGATCAGAAATGCTTGCACTGTGACAATCAGACAGCTTTTAACACAGAGGCGATGGCTGCACCTAACAGTGGGCTAACTGTAGCATCTCCTTTGACTCTCAGTCCCATGGCAAAATGTCTCATCCCGAATTCAACGGACTGACCTGGATGATGTAGAAGCGTGAGATGCCCTCTTGACGCTTGACTTTGGCGCTCTTGGGGGGCCGCAAGGGGGTGCTGGGAATCTCCTTCACCTCCAGGCAGTCAGGCTCCTCCTTGGACAAGCCGTCGGGGTTTTGAACCAAGATCCCGTTGACATTCTTCACCTTCTTCCCATCACGGATGCAGTCCTTCTCCAGCAGCGGGTAGAGGAACGAGTACCGCCTGTCACGCTGCTTGGCTGACTGGTGCACGGAGTACGTGATGAAGCAGAGGCTGGGGGTGCACACCAAAATGATCTGGAAGACCCAGTAGCGGATGTGGGAGATGGGGAAAGCTTTATCATAACAGGCCTGGTTGCAGCCCGGCTGGAGCGTGTTACACATGAACATGGTCTGCTCATCCTCGTAAACTGTCTCCCCCACAATGGCCACAATCAGGATGCGGAAGATCACCACCACCGTCAGCAGAATCCTAAGAAATAGTGAGAGAGGACAGTAAGGTGAAGGACACCATTGATAGGTTACTGATCCCCCCCCTTGCGTCTCATACAAGATTTTCTCCTTTGATCTCCTTTGTTATGCATGTTTCCAAGTTTTGACATGCAAACAAAGCTGGCGTTCACCTCCCAAGAACCATTCCAATGCCATTCACATTCCTACTTATAATTTGCTTGCACAACTGTACCATTTTTGCCACTTCAGGGAGCACTGTTTTCAGGGGCGGAATCCTCCTCCGTGCCATCTCCTCTCTGAATGTGCTCAGCTGCGTTGCGGACAACACCCCCAGAAAGGATATCAAGCCAAAGAAAGATCAACCTGGAGCCATCCGTAGAAGGAAGGGTAAAAGGAGAGGCAACCAAGATTTTCACAGCTTGCAAATATTGCTTGTGGTCCAAAAACAGTCATGTTTCTAATCCTTGGTGTTTTCTTCTCCCCCCCCTTCCTCCCTGCACTGGGGAAGACCACTTCGAACAGCAGGAAACCAAAATAAAGAACATCTGGAACTGCAGAAGAAAGGGAAAACTGTGGGCAAAGGTGCAAGAGCTAATAAACAGAATTCAGGAATGACCAATCTCAGGGGAAGATTACTCATCAGGAACTACATTCCTGTGCCTGAGGTGAGGATGGTACATCTGATATTTCCGAACCTTTTTTTTTTTGCTTCGCCTGAGTTGGAGCACCCCGCTGAGAAGCCAAAGGTTGGGAGTTCGATTCCCCCACTGAGCCTCCCAGTGAGAGGAGCCAGCCTGGGTAGCCTTGGGCAAGCTGCACACAGTCCCAGGGCTCCCCCTAGAGGAAGGGAATGGGAAACCACTGCTCAGCACTCTATATCTACAGAGGCATAGAAAGGGTTGCCATAAGTCAGAATTGACTTGATAGCATGCAGTTATTATTATCAATTAAGGTATAGCCATATTTGGGGTGTGGGTTTGGTGGTGGGAGGGTTGCCTTCTTATGCCTCTTCTTTTTGTACATCTCATTAAAAGGATTCACTCCTGCTTTCCCTTCCATTCTCCTTTCCCTGCTTGTCTAGTTCCTTTTAGCTTGTTAAGCCCCAGGGCCTCAGAGTTTATTTGCCTTTGGATTGATATGAGCCGTTCTGAGTAACAATAATTGTCAGAAACGCAGGATAAAGAACAAGCAAAGAAAATAAAAAGAGGGTCCAGCTGCCAGGTGGTGCTCAGTAGGGGCAAGAAAGAAAGAAAGAAATAACAAAGAAGGAATGAATAACTTTTTAGCTACAACCAGGAGAGGCGTACACCAGAAGTTGGAACCAGATATGACAAATCAGTTGCTTCCTCTACAGCATCTCAGATGGGCTGTTGTTGGCGAAGAGATGCAGCAATGGATGGACCACTTCTCGGAACCAGCTGTAAGGCAAGCCCTCCCCAATCTGGTATCCTCCACATGCTATGGACCACAATCTCTCCTTATCCTCTATGGCAATCGTTCCCGACCTTGAGTCCCCAGATGTTCTTGGACTGCAACTCCCAGCAAATCCTGGCCAGCACAGGAAGTGATGAAGGCTTCTGGGAATCATAGTTCAAGAACATCTGGAAACCCAAGTTTTGAGAACCACTGGTCTAGAACACACAGAGAGCTCCTCTAGCCTGAAAAAAGAAAGGCAGAGGAGAAAAATAAAGAGGGTTCAGGCAAACAGCAGTTTTGCCATAAGCCAACAGGTTTGCAGCAAAGGATACTCCCAAAACACGGATGAGGCCATAGGGACAAATTTTGGCCGTTTGAACTTTCCTGAGCAGGTCAACACCCCTTTCCCTTGGGCTCCCCGACTTTCTATCATTTTCTCATTCCTCTTACAGTATGGCAAAAAATGGAGGCACCTCCTAAACCTTAATGACAGACAGCAAATTAGAAGGCGTGCTGCTTATCAAAGGTGTTGCTATTTGGGGTCCCACCCTCTTGCCCTTGGCCCCACACAACCTTGGGGGGGCGTACCCTCCACCAGGATTTCTTTGGAACCTGGATTTGCTTCCCCACACCTGCCCCAAACGACAAATTGCTCATCCACCTAAAAGTTGTGGGAAGGAGGTGGGGGTCCACCAGGCAGCATTCAGATGTCACATTTTCCTCTTCTTCCATCTCCCCTTCCTTCGGCCTTTGTTTCCCCTGCCTCCAGCGCTGACAAACACCCCATTTCGATTGCACCTCGGCTGTGCCACCAACCCCTTCCTGCAATTCACTTGGCCCCTTTTGCTGGAGACATTCAAAAAGTCACTAAAAACCTGGCTGTTTCAGCAGGCATTCAAAAACTCCATACTTGTGAACTCAGTTGAGTCTAATTAGCCTCTCCGACCAATGTCCCCTGCCTTGAATGTTTTATTTGGATGTATTTTTCTGCTTTCAGTTTATTATTTATTTGTATCCCGCCCATCTAGCCCCACAGGACCACTATCCGACCAATGTCCCCCACTTTGAATGTTTTATTTGGATGTAATTTTCTGCTTTCAGTTTATTGTTTATTTGTGTTTTATTATTTTCCATTTTTATTCCGTTCAGTTGTACGTGGTGGTATGTATATGTTGTAAACTGCCTGGAGTGGCCTCGGCCAGAGGGGCAGTATAAAAATTAAACAAACTAACAAACACAAACAAACAAACTTCTCTGTTTTAAGAAACAAACTAACAAACACAAACAAACAAACAAATTTCTCTGTTTTAAAAAAGGAAGGAGCTCAACCTTATCTAAGATGGCATCATGCACAACTAACGGAGGTTTGGTTGTGTGCGATAATGTTCTTACTGAGTCTTCTTTCTTTCTTTCTTTCTTTCTTTCTTTCTTTCTTTCTTTCTTTCTTTCTTTCTTTCTTTCTTTCTTTCTTTCTTTCTTTCTTTCTTTCTGCCTTTTATCTGACTTAATTTTTCTCTTTCTTTCTTTCTTTCTTTCTTTTATCTGACTTAATTTTCCATCCTTTTTCTCCCTTACTACACATCACCAGGTATGTCTTTATGTGACTGGGATTATTCCTCAAGTCAAATGTTGCCTCTAACTTGCATCTAACAAATCCCTCTGGCCGTGAATTTTTGGACTATCACGTTTTCCACACTGGTGCAAAGCCTGAGGAACTGGCCTTGATCCATGAAGGCTCACGTATGGTATGGTGATTTTTTTGACGGTCTAGAAAGACATGGCTTGCCTCTTGCATTCGTATTTTGCTTTGTAGGGACTGCGCAGCTGCCTTTTATTTCAATGGCAGCTCTCCTTCTTCCATGGGCTACTTCCATATCACTTTCTTATGCTGTTCTCCCCAGATGCCGAAGTTGGTTTATGACTCCCAGTGTCTCCTTCCTTCTTTATGTGAAAGTTCAAAATGGATCTCAACCGGCTGGCTGAACAAGCTTATCCTTTCACTGTAAGTCCAGACTATTTCATATTATATTCTGTGATGCACAGGGAGTTGCCTTCTCCAAAACGAAACAACCAATATCTGAAATCAAAACACTTTTTTTTTGAAAATATACATTAATGTGCCATGGACCTCTTCTCCCCATATGAGCCTTCTCAGTGCTTAAGATTCTTAGAGGAAGCCCTCCTCTCGGTCCCATGGCTGGTCCAGGCAGGATTGATGGGGACACGAGACAGGGCCTTCTCGGTGGCTGCTCCCAGGTTACGGGATGCTCTCCCTCGGGAGATCAGGCTGGCCCCCTCCCTTTTGCTCTTCCACGGACAGCTAAAGATCCACCTTTTCAGACAGGCTTTTAACAAGCATCACGATCGAGTCCCCGAATCGTTTTTAAAGCTAAGACCGTTTTTAATGTTCCCTTGCTTTTAATGATTCAGTTGTATTTTAATTAGTGCATGGTTTAATTGTGTGGGTTTTTAAAAAATGTTTAGTTTATTCTGTTTTTAATTCTATCCTTTTTACTCTTGTGAGCTACCCTAGGGTCCCCTTTATCAGGAGAAAGGCACCCTATCAATAAAATGAACTAACTAAGGAATTGAGGGCACCGTTCATTCATGCATTGAATTTTAGCCAGCCTAACGTTTTGTGCAAGGGAGTGCAAGGCAAAATGTGGCCAAGAGAGAAGCCACAGACAGATGCTTCCAGCATGATGTTCTCTCCTGCTCTTGAAACCTCTATGACAATCTTCTTGGGACCGGTGCCTTTTATTTATGGTCCTCCGTAGAGTAGGAAGCGGGGGAATTTGTAGATTTGGGTTCCTGGGCTGCAGTTCCCCATGGCCTTGGGGTGGGCGAGCCAAAGGTGTGGGAGGACAGGCAGGTCCGTGTGGCTACAGGTGGCACACCCTTGCTATAAAACACTGCAACAGTAAGGAAGTCCATATTCCAGGCCTTGACCTCGTCAGTTTGGGGTGAGCGAAAGAGCTGGCCCTGCTTTCTGGTTTCCTTGCTTCTTCTTGCCCAGAAAGGGATACATCAAGGCTAGCACAGGCTAAAAGCTCTCTGTTGGCTCTTTCGCATACTCAAGAGAGCTAGGCTGGTTCAACCGAACTTCCTGAGCCGCAGAGCCGAGAAGTCGGGCATCCAGAGTTACTCAACCAGGTTTTCCTCGCCATGCAAGCGCCCGGCAGTAGCAAAGAAAACCAAAGACCACCAGAAATGCAACACCCGAGAGTTTTGTGGCATGTCAGAAAAGGGTTCCAAGTTTCTGATGGTGCAAGCTTTCACAGACCGGGCTTCCCATCTATCTGAGGCTGGTGGAAAGAGAAACCCAGGTGTGCAAGAGAGAGAAAAAACTTACACTACGATTCTTGTCTGTATAGATCTACCTCCTGGGACAGGGGAGGGACACCATTTAGGGGAAACTTTAATGCCATAATGAATGGGGTCGCCTTTAAATCCTTCTCCTTTAGGATAATCATAAGGTGGGGTGCGGTGGGCGGGAATCCCTGTTCTCCACCAGGGACTAACAATCTAAGGAGGGACCATGCAGAGAACCCGGGCGTCTCTGGAACCTCCACCCACTAGACTTCACTGTCTTCCCAGAAGACAGATTCCGGATTCTCCCTTCTGGCACAGACTTGAAACCTCTTCTCGCTGGGCTGAGCACCACCCACGACAGGTCCCCTTCAGCCTCGCCTTTCTCTCTGCAGGGTTTATTGGGGTACCTTTGGGAGGTTCCCCCCCTTTCCAACCCAGAGAGCTCAAACCTAGGCACCTGGGGAGGGGAGTGAGCCCCCGAACCTGTCAGAACTGGGGCGTGCTTTTTTTTGTAGGGGGGGAGAACAATTGGGATGGAACAAAAGGCCGGCTCTTCCTCCTTTGCCAATCCGACCAAGCCAAGCGGCTAGTCCCTGTTGAGGAAGCAGAGAGA